ACAGTACAGACTGTATACTTCTCTGCTACCTGTGAATGGTGTCTTGAACCACTCACCTCAGATCTAAATCCAAGATTACACAGGCACTCTGACCATTGACCCTGACATACACCAATTAAAAATGGTCCGATTTATGAGGTATCGCACAACAAATAGACAACATGTAAAATTATGTTGTCACTAGATATCCCAGTACACTTTGCTTGTTTTTGCGGCAGCATTTGAAACAGTTGGAAAAATATGCCAGGTACAGATCAAGACAGAGACTTGCAAGTAGAATTTTTAGCACAATTAGTTATAAGGGGCCAGATGTGTCTTCCCAAAACTAACTAGCTGAAAATTGTTAGTTTTCAGAATTTTCATATCTGAAAATGCTCTGTTATTCAGTACCAGGTTGAAATGCGAAAAAAAAAAAAAAAAAAAAATATTATTGGTTGATTGTTTAGCATTTCACAGGAAAATCTGAAACATTTTGAGTTCTACATATGAAATTATAACATTTTCCACAACTGGTAAAGGAGTGTTAATTTATCTCAGAATTATTCTATATCTCCTTGACTTTATTTTACTGGTAATTTTTCCGTTAATGTCCCAGTCAGAGCAGAAAATGTTTGTGAAAAAGAGGCTAGATTTTGTTGCAAAGTCTTGGCATTGTAAACATTGATATATGGTATCAGTGCTATTAATATATTTTATTGAGTAATATATTGTACATACATTACAAATCACAACTTAATTTGGATTTTGTGGTTCAATTTCATTATATGATGTTAAAAAAATTATTTCACAAGACCAAGTGATTTTAAGATGAAATATGATCACCAAGAAAATAGGTTGTTGCAATGTATTGGAGTGAAATCATTAATTAACAATTAATATGTGGTGATGGTTTACCAGTCAAGCTTACACTGGCTTCTTAACATACCAATTAAATACTTACATCGATGCTGATTGGTACCGACAGAAATATTCATGTACAGTAGTTTATTCTTTTTGATGACAATTATTTTTCCTGAAAGCCATGAAACTTTCTACACCTATCACTACAACAGGAAAGGAATTATGCCTACAGCCTCATTTTTAATTGTATTTAAACTTTTAATGTACAAATGTTTGAAATGAAACATCAGTTTAAGTATTAATTGTATTTTCCAGGTATCTGTTTTTCATAATCTTCAAAAGTAATAACCTTTATAATAGTGAGATGTTGAAACTGGTGATATAAAAATGTCTGTGATGGAAAGTCTATACATTTCCCTCTACCTTGTGTTGAAATTCATTTGAAAACAAAATTCTGATCTTATTAAGTTGATGTAGTGATTTCTGCTGCTGTCCTGTCTGTAGCAGCTGTTCTATCATAATATATAATTTGAGATCTCAATAAAAGTTTTAAGATATCATGATGTCATATAAATTACTGTTTTAACTGCCTTGTCAATCCTTTAAGGTTGAGCTCTCCCAGTGTCCTTGGAGTGAAAGATTGTAACATTGTGTAAGTGTTATTTCTCCTGGTTTTGCTGTGTAAAATGAATAGGGAATTGTTTTGTCTGTTTTGAGATATGTGCTTTGTGAAAAATGATATCACCTAATTGGCCATAAAGATAAAACAGATCCCCATTCAGCACATAAAATGTGGTACAGTTGATCCCATACATTGTGATATTTCTGTTTTCCAGACAAAATAACTGTAACTGAGACACTGTAAGGAGCAAAAAAAAAAAAAAAAAATGGTTTAAATTATTTCAAGTTTTTCAAAATGAAAAAGAGGCACATATAACTATCTGACTATACCAGAATCTGTATTTAATGAAATATCAGCTTGTTTTTGGTAAATGGAAGATCACTCAGGTTACATAACATGATATGGTCAGAACATCATATCCACTGCTGATGATATTCTGATCTTTCCTCTGTAACAATTGTTCACACCCTGTCGTATTGTTATGTAAGATTCCATAATTGAATGTTTTCTATCTTCTGAAGCAGACTTTCGTTTAGTCTAGAATTGATTATTTAGATGAAATAAGTGTGAGGGTAAATGTAATTTGGTTTTAATGATTTGTTTACATTGTCATGTCTCCTGCATGTCTTTCCCAGAGATGTCAGCTGTCTGCCTTAATTGTACATAGGGTGCTACAGTATACTGTGTTACAAAGTAATTACTACAGGGTAATACAGTACACAAAGTTATTATGTAGTTACATAAGGTTGCTAAAGGACCCTGAGTTACTACAGAATTACGTCAGGGTGCTACAGTGCAATGAGTAACTACGTAATTACATTTGGGTGTTACAGTGAACCAAATTATTATGTAATTACATTAGGGTGCTACAGTACACTATGGTATTATATAATTATGATGGGGTGCTAAAGTGCACCAAGTTATGTATGTTGCATCTAAATTCTGACTTGTATGGCACATATTTGTTCAAAGCTGTAATTTGTGTGATACATACTTGCATCAGTGAGTTAATAGTAAGCTACCTGTTGAAATAGAATGTTTGTATGGTAAAAGCATGCATCAGTGATGTACTTTGCATATCTGTATTTTGTATGGTACACCCCTGTGTCAGTGATGTGCCATCTATAACTGTAAATACCTTGATCCTTTGCTTGTGTATATTTGGAACATCTTGTAGCTATGTTGGTATGTAACATCCCATGGCAGTGTCTATATGAAGTATTTTGTGAATATTTATTTTGGTAAGGAAACATGCTGCAGAGTCTGTGTTTCTTGTTGTACTGGATTCATACTGTCATTCATTACATACATAATGTCCATTGTCATTTAAAACAACATCATCATTAGATAGATTGTACAAGTAGGTAGTTTTGTACAAATAAACAATCAACATGTCAATATTTGGTGTTTGTGGTTTGTGTGTACCATATATTAAGACAGGAGATCATATTATTGTCTTGCTTACATAATATTATTCGTGGTTCTGCATTTCAATACAAATAGTCTCAATTAAAAATGCCATGCTAGTGTCAATCTAGAGGATGTTTAAACTGGACGTGATACTGTAATATATCATCTTTATCTGGCATCTGTTAATATAATTCTATTCAGTCTCTGAAATCTGAGTTATCTCCTATCAGCTTTTGCCTAGTATTAAACCAACTATGACCAAATATATCCTATACATAGGGTAAGCTCTACATCAAATTATCCAGTATCAGCATCTGAAGTTTATATGAACAAATGATTTCAGATTGTAAGCATTGACAATATCCCCGGCTTCCAAAATAGACAACTAAGTAATTGGTGTACATTTAATGTGTTATGTATAATGTCACATCCTCATTCTTGGGTCATATCTATAAACTGAAAAATAAGTGTAAAATAAATTTACCAAGAGTGACATCAACATATCTAAAAAAATGTCTCGACAGCTGTATATCATTTTATTATAGATTCAACAATTCTTATCTACATGTATACTTAAATGTATTATTTACATCATATTTACAATTCTGTACCTATCTACCTTATAAACAAATAGACAGTTTACTATTTACAGTTTATTTACAGGCACAACTTTCAGCCAATCTATAAAACTGATTACTGAAACATGAATCCCTCAGCCTGTATAATCATTATCTTATAAAACTTATTGTTGATGTTTTGTATGATACAAGAATATCAAGTGATTAATATTGCACATGAAAACATCACAACTGGGGGGATATACAGACAAGTCATACCAATATACAGATTAAATTTACCGTAGTGTACTACATTAAATCTTATTTAAATATGACTGTAAGTTGGTCCATTATAACACTGCATAGCAAATTGATGTCTGGAGTCAGACTTCCTAAAAAAGAATCTGCTATATTTACATCAAATTATTTCTTGTTTATTCACATATCACCAATATGTTCCAGGCTGCAGTATCGTGACAATGATAGAACTATGTGAAGTATTGTGTTAAACAGAAGTCCTAATCCTGTAGGGTCATAGAGTACAAAGTTTGGTAGTCAATAGCAGTCATTATCACAGGTAAGCTTCTATACACTGTATAACATACTAATGATAGTAATCCTCCACATCATCAAACATGGTATATAAGGTGGATAACACTGGTATAGATGACACCAGTCACGATATACTGCACTAGATGGATAGTAAGTAAAAGAAAAAAAAACAACAGAAATATCACAGTGTCCTGCCAAATAGAAACTCAAACCTCAGTGAGATGTTCCACATACATCATGCCTTCAATGAGATATACCAAGCATCACACCTTACCCCTGCAGGAAATTGCTTGTTCTGGAGTTTTTAGTTTTCAGGGGTGACTGTGATGTTTGAGAAAGTAAATGTGGCCAGTATTTCACTAAGTTTACATACACATTTCCAGGTTGACCTCCCATTCTGTGTAACCTGGTACTGACATAGTTCATCACATTTCCAGGTTGACCTCCCGTTCTGTGTTACCTGGTACTGACATAGTTCATCACATTACCAGGTTGACCTCCTGTTCTGTGTAACCTGATACTGACATAGTTCATCACATTTCCAGGTTGACCTCTGGTTCTGTGTTACCTGGTACTGACATAGTTCATCACATTTCCAGGTTGACCTCCCATTCTGTGTAACCTGATACTGACATAGTTCATCACATTTCCAGGTTGACCTCTGGTTCTGTGTTACCTGATACTGACATAGTTCATCACATTACCAGGTTGACCTCTGGTTCTGTGTAACCTGGTACTGACATAGTTCATCACATTTCCAGGTTGACCTCCCGTTCTGTGTTACCTGATACTGACATAGTTCATCATATTTCCACATCAAACTCTTGTTCCATGTAACCTGGCACAGACATAGTTTATCACATTTCCAGGTTGACCTCCCATTCTGTGTTACCTGATACTGACATAGTTCATCATATTTCCACATCAAACTCTTGTTCCATGTAACCTGGCACAGACATAGTTTATCACATTTCCAGGTCGACCTCTTGATTTGTGTTACCTGGCACTGACATAGTTTATCACATTTCCAGGTCGACCTCTTGATCTGCGTTACTGGTGCCGACATTACTCATCTGGGTGGTACCAATGTCAGGTTGTTGCTGACCATCCATTGACCCTGTTTTGTCAGCTGTTGGTGCGGGTGTGATGGGGACCATTCCCCGAGTGTTCTCTGCCGGCTCCTGTTGTTGGATGTACTTTTCCATCAGCCAAGCTTGACCTCGGTTAAAGTTCCGACTCAGCTCAAACAGGTTTAATACTGACATTTTCTGAGAGAGTTAAGGAAATTCCATGACTTAAAAGGAAGATTACTAATCATTAAATCTATAAGTGAACACTATTCCAGTGGAGACGATAATACAATACAGGCACCACTCGAAGCATGCCCTAATTCAATGGTCAGTACAACATGTACTAAGTCAATATGATCAAACAACAGGCAGGACCTATGTAAGCTCTCTCTGGAGGTGACTAAAGTGAAGTAGATCATATCTAAAGGGGGATAACTCACACAAAAAAACACACACTTTTACACATTACACACAAACATTTACACATACAGCTATTAGATTATTAGAATGTATTATATAAGCTATCATCATAAAACCACATAGTTATTGGCAGACATTGACCAAAAGTCCATGTGCATAACTATATACACGGGACATAGCTGTCAATATATATAAGTTATATACTGAAAATGCTGTAGTTGAAGACGGAGAATTCATGTACACATTTCAATTTGATAAGACATATGCTGCAAAACAAAACTGATTAAACAAAATCTGCATCAATTGAAACTCATATTTCTTTATAAGAATGAAATTTTTACTAAACTAACATACACTGTAGTGTAAAAGGGCATAAAAAGATGTAAAAGATATTTTGATATTTGAACAACATAACAACATGATATAGAGATTAAAATGTCTGCTTTTACCAATAAATAAGTGAATATCATTCAGTAACATTGTGTTTGTATTTCTGTCACAGTCAGGACAGCCTTGTAGAAAGATGTTTACAACATGGTGATGATACTCAAAGAGCACTGATCATGCTAAAGAGACAGTAGAATATTGTAACCAGAAATATCTACAGTGAGTCAATCTACAGATATGGCATTGGTTATATAACTAGTCATCTAATGAATAACAGTTGTACCATGATATAGCAGTGACAGAATGGTCCTTAAGATTTCAAAGGATACAGATTTATTAGGCAAGGGAGGTAACTGGATCATAGACGGTGGCTGGGTCAATCGTAAGTCACTGGATCCTGTAAATAAAAATACCGTACATATAGAGGTTTTATTTTATAAACATAGCCCAATACAACAGCAGCAAAAGTTCTCATTCCAGCCTCAATGTTCATATACCATCAGAGATTTACAAAAAAAGAATGTTAATTGCTACTTACCATTAGGATGGAAGTACTGGTGGGCTCTAGGGTTGAACACGGTACCTCGTTTGTATGGCATAAACAAAGCAGGTAAACTCACGTCTGTAAACAAAAAACATTTAGTTGACAAAAAAAGCATGATATTAGTTTAATTTATAATTTAGCCTACAGTTTACACTTCCTAAAAAGAGGTGTCTGGACAAACTAAATTATCAGAGGGATTTTTGTAACAAAAATCTAGATAAAATACTAGCCTGTGACCTTATCTAAGTCCTCTGTAAAAGTCATTGACATAAACACAACAATAGCCTTTGACCTTTCACTCAGTCCTCTGTTAAAGTCACTGACATAAACACAACTCTAGCCTATGACCTTTCGCTCAGTCCTCTGTTAAAATCATTCACATAAACAAAACACTAGCCTTTGACCTTTCACTCAGTCCTCTGTTAAAGTCACTGACATAAACACAACCCTAACCTTTGACCTTTCACCTCTCTATCTAAGCCACTGACCTTTAAGTGCATCATACATCTCCTCTTCCTTCTTGCTGAGTTTGTGTTGACCAGCTAGCTTCCTCTCGATGTCCTCCTGGATCTGTTTAGATATTTTGTTGACCATTTCCTCCTTATGCTTGTTGGACTCTTCCTCGAACCAGGCCAGTCGGTCCAGAAACTTTCAAGGGAGACAGATACAAATCTCAAGTAGTCGGAAAAAAATCTTCTCCCAAGTTTGTGACAAAGATTTCAAGTTAGGATACAAATGTATATTAGGAAATTAAAAAGAAACGAATTCAACATTGTGTGAATTTTTAAGATTTGAAGATGGTTTCAATGACAATAATGGTCAAATATTTGCTTCTAAAGAAAGTGGTCATGTACAAGTTTACTGCCATATATCAGCCATATATCAGCCATATATCAGCCATATACCTGCCATATATCAGCCATATATCAGCTGCTAAAATTGCAAGAATTGACAAGAATTGATAAGGACTGAAATCATACAGATTTTTTTGAGTATGTTATTGACTAAATAAAGATATGCTACTCACATCCTCTGGTATGCCGGGTCCCCAGTGTTGAGGGGTGGGGCGAGATGGCCGTGCAGGTTTGGTACGACGTACAGATGGCATTGGCACAGACTTTCTAGCATCTGGGGCAGTCTCTGGTCGCCTAGAAAATTGCGAATTTCAAAGTGAAAAACAAAATTCATGGCATAAAGCAGACACTACCAGTAACTGATGGAAACATCTTATATCACTACTTACTCTTGGTATAAGTTAGACTAGACCTGGGGAGGAACTGGCATGATCTCCATGGTATGGAATTTCACCAGTAACTGCTGTTGATATAACTTACATTGGACTAGACCTGGGGAGGGTGAACATGGTCTCCAAGGTAAGGAAGCCCACCAGTAACAGCAGTTGGTATAACTTACATTGGACTAGACCTGGGGAGGGTGGACATGGTCTCCATGGTAAGGTAGCCCACCAGTACCAGCTGTTGGTATAACTTACATTGGACTAGACCTGGGGAGTATGGACATGGTCTCCATGGTAAGGAAGGCCACCAGTACCAGCTGTTGGTATAACTTACATTGGACTAGACCTGGGGAGGATGGACATGGTCTCCATGGTAAGGAAGGCCACCAGTACCAGCTGTTGGTATAACTTACATTGGACTAGACCTGGGGTGGATGGACATGGTCTCCATGGTAAGGAAGGCCACCAGTAACAGCTGTTGATATAACTTACATTGGACTAGACCTGGGGAGGATGGACATGGTCTCCATGGTAAGGAATTTCACCAGTAACAGCTGTTGATATAACTTACATTGGACTAGACCTGGGGAGGATGGACATGATCTCCATGGTAAGGAAGGCCATTAGTAACAGCTGTTGATATAACTTACATTGGACTAGACCTTGGGAGGGTGGACATGGTCTCCATGGTAAGGAAGCCCACCAGTAACAGCTGTTGGTATAACTTACATTGGACTAGACCTGGGGAGGATGGACATGGTCTCCATGGTAAGGAAGGCCACCAGTAACAGCTGTTGGTATAACTTACATTGGACTAGACCTGGGGTTGATGGACATGGTCTCCATGGTGAGGAAGGCCACCAGTAACAGCTGTTGGTATAACTTACATTGGACTAGACCTGGGGTGGATGGACATGGTCTCCATGGTAAGGAAGGCCACCAGTAACAGCTGTTGGTATAACTTACATTGGACTAGACCTGGGGAGGATGGACATGGTCTCCATGGTAAGGAAGGCCACCAGTAACAGCTGTTGGTATAACTTACATTGGACTAGACCTGGGGTGGATGGACATGGTCTCCATGGTAAGGAAGGCCACCAGTAACAGCTGTTGGTATAACTTACATTGGACTAGACCTGGGGTGGATGGACATGGTCTCCATGGTAAGGAAGGCCACCGGTAACAGCTGTTGGTATAACTTACATTGGACTAGACCTGGGGAGTATGGACATGGTCTCCATGGTAAGGAAGGCCACCAGTAACAGCTGTTGGTATAACTTACATTGGACTAGACCTGGGGAGTATGGACATGGTCTCCATGGTAAGGAAGGCCACCAGTAACAGCTGTTGGTATAACTTACATTGGACTAGACCTGGGGAGGATGGACATGGCCTCCATGGTAAGGAAGCCCACCAGTAACAGCTGTTGGTATAACTTACATTGGACTAGACCTGGGGAGTATGGACATGGCCTCCATGGTAAGGAAGCCCACCGGTAACAGCTGTTGGTATAACTTACATTGGACCAGACCTGGGGAGGATGGACATGATCTCCATGGTAAGGAAGACTACCAGTAACAGCTGTTGGTATAACTTACATTGGACTAGACCTGGGTAGTATGGACATGGTCTCCATGGTAAGGAAGCCCACCAGTAACAGCTGTTGGTATAACTTACATTGGACTAGACCTGGGGAGGGTGGACATGGTCTCCATGGTAAGGAAGGCTACCAGTAACAGCTGTTGGTATAACTTACATTGGACTAGACCTGGGAGGAACCGGCATGGTCTCCATAGTAGGGGAGGCAGTATTGAGCGGGACTAGAGGTGGAGGCTGTGGCTGTGCTTCCCGTCGCGTGGCACTACTTGCTGACCGACGACTTTCCTGAGACAGAGGACGTTGTTGGGGACGAGGGGCATGTTGTTGTTGTAGCAACTGCTGCTGATGGTACTGTATCTGTTGCTGCTGTTGTTGTTGTTGCTGTTTCAACTGTTCTTGCATCTGGAATCGTGTTTCCTCCATCAACTGTAAACTGTCTGTCAACTGTTGCAGTCGCTTTCTGTTCAGAATAAATATCATTTTATACTTTTTTACTAGAATAAGACAATTTTAATGACCTTTAATGATCTGCATAGTTTTAACTCTTAGGAAGCTACTGTTTAAATATCACAAGACGCTTTTTTCTCTACAAAAGATGTTTAGATCTTCTGACAAGAGTATCTAGTACATAAAGGTCATTCATTTCTATAAACTTGATAGCTCTAACATTATTTAGATGTCATAGTAGATGCCAAACAGATGTCCTATGATCAAACAGTACAACACATCAGCTCACAAACAAAGTATGATAAAAGTTCAAACCAGGGTCTGTAAGAGTTGATATTACAAGCTCTATTTCTGCTCTAGTTCTGTCTACCCTTTAACACTCTCAGACTGAAGCTATACTACACTGGTGTCTGAAGCTATAAGCCATTAGTTTGAAGGATCAGTCTTGTCTATATCTGTGTAGACCTACTCATACTCCTCTTGTATGTAACGTAAATCGTTGTTGTGTTTGTCCATCATCTCGTCAAATTCTCTCTTGGTAACCATTTCCTGAAACAAACAAGCAATCATAATTCTAGAGTTCGTCAAAACTCAAGATGGCCGCATGTCAGCAATCTTATTTTTGTGATCAGTCCCAAGATCAAAAGGGCACAACTAGGGATCATAGGGCACCTACATAGGAAATTTGAGAAAGATTGATCCAGCACTTTGATGGTGTGTGTGGAGATGCTGTCGATGGTGTGTTTAGATGATATCTACGAACAGAGATTTTATATTTTACTGTAGTTGGAAAATTATACAACATTCTATAACCTTTCTTAAGTTTCCAGGCCAATATGTCATGCTGGAAATGTCAAGCCATAATGAGGACACATCGTATAACAAAATATTATCTTTATCTAGAAATGATGATAATGTAGTGTTTGTTGTTACAAACCTCCTTTGGTTCAGGGGTAGGCTCCTTGGGAGGAGGTGGTGGAGTTGGCTCTTTAGGAGGAGGTGGTGTAGGCTCCTTTGGGGGTGGGGGAGTTGGTTCCTTCGGGGGTGGGGGAGGGGGTGTTGGCTCCTTTGGAGGTTCTGGGGTCAAGTGAAGGGCTGAACTAGCCTGATCCCTCATCTCTTTATTAAGATCTTCTTTTCTCCAGGTATCAAGGTCAATACCAGTCATGTCAAATACCAAAGAGTTCAAGGTCATTGTTCCTGAAATATTCAATGATATCACTATCATCACATAGAAAAATAAAAACCAGAAAATATAAACAAGGCATCGCAGATAATACAAATTCCCTGAAGATTCCATCTTAGCTTAAGCACTATAAAAAAAAATGGCAAATTGTGTAAATTTGATCAATTTGCTTCCAAGGAAAGAAGTCACTTGAGTATTGGCTAGGTTCTTCTAAAAATAGTAGAGGAGACTTTAACTTTGACCTTACAACACTTAAACTCCAACCTGAGACTCCTTTAACAACATTTGATGTTTGATCAAAATCCCTCCAGAAATAAAGCTGGTAGAACACTGAAAAGGATTTTCTAAAATATGTAACTTTTTTTTTAACTAAAACTTGTCCAAGATAATGTGGTCTTGTATAATTGTGCTAAGTTTGATCAAATCTGTTAAGAAATGTAGTTGCTTGGAGGCTGATAAGAATTTTATGAAAATTGTAATGGTGACCTTGACCTAGACTCGATATCTCTGAAACTTGAAATTGTCCAAGGTTAAATGGTCCATTATAATTGTGTGATGTTTGATCAATGTCCCGTAAGGAATAAAGCCGCTTAAGTGCTGACAATGATAAGTGTGATGTCACTTAAAGGAACATTTCTATATCCTTTCCTAACATTCATTGTGAGGGGTTATGTTATGTACAGGTTCCCTCTCTAAAAACATGGCAATATTCTTTGATTGTAGGAGACTGATTTGCACTAAGAGGATAAATAATATTTTGTAATTTGTAAATTCAAAGTCACAGTTGTGTAACATCATCTTTTAACCATGTGAACGAATTTGGAGATTTCTTAGACTTAATATCAGATTAATCAGTATAAAGATGAATTAACTCACCACACTGCCTATTGAATTCCTGAGGCTTAAGACGCTTGCCTATGTACATGACAAGAGGAAGTGTGCCACATGACGCGTGCATGGAGTCACCTTTAGCAGGATTTACTGATAGCAAGGGGAATGGAACAGCTTCAATATCTTTAACTAGTTCATTTGATACAGGTTCTGGCTGTTTCTTTACATCCTCTCCAGGCAGACTGATCTCAACATCATCAGACAGTGAGTCAAAGTCCCCTACATCACTGCGCCCTCCGCGGCCCCTGGGGGTAGTAGGGACATCATCATCTCCATGGGGCTCAGGTAGGTATACTTCTTTCAAATTCTGATGGGGAAATGGCCAAGATATCATCATTAATTAGGTGGGTTTTTTGTATTTACAAGATGTTATATCCAATTTTCTTACTGCCCTGCATCTCTGTACATCATACTATTTCTATTTTCTAGATTCGAGCATCACATCCAGAAATTAAATTTTCAATGTTCGTTATATTAAATCCAGTAATATGAGATGATGACATATATTTACATGTACATAAACAATTGAATTTTTAATGCTCTAAATACACAAAGGGCAATAACTCTGTATTTCATTGAACATCATGTCCAATAGTAAGAAAGAAAGAAAATCAAAAGGATTGATCCAAACAAATATCAATATTCTAAATATACAAAGGGCAATAACTATGTCAATAAGACAATGAATCAATATGTCTAATACACATTTACAACAACACCAAAATGGACAGCTTTTGGTAGACACATGTTGATGAAAATTGGGGAAGTTTACAGCCATCAGAAATATTCTCTCACTTTGTTCAATATGAAGATGGATGTGTTTGATGCTGGTTAGTTTGCCTGTTGGTTCTGTTGTTGTATACCTTGTTCTCATTTCAAAATGTAACATTACTTACTTGAATTGACTAAGGTTTACACGTTGGGTGTAGTTGATGAAGCAAAAGATGCTTACTCTTCGACAACACCTGGTCTTATTCTCCCTGTACTGTTTCAGGAGTCTCTGTGCTTTTTTGTTCATATTTTACCCTAATTTCATTAAATTTAATTTTGTCAGTATTTTCTTTGATGTTCTCACGATAGAGATTCAAGTCAAGTCATTGCTATCAAAGCAGACCAGAAGATATCAAATTTACCAATGCCTTGATATCCTCCATGTCTATGGTTGCCATGGCAAATATTTCCTCCTGGGGACCCACATGTACAGACACTTGTATGTTCTGAGGTTCCTCTTTGGTGGGTTTTGTCCACACTCCATCTGGAACCTCTTCTGGGAGGTCAAAGGACATCTCCTCAAACCTACAAAAGTTAAATTCAGATTTGAGGTTGAACAAGAAAATGTTTTTTTATCTACATTAGATAGAACAGAACTATGGGCTCTGTGTCCTGTTGTACAACAACAGAATCAGGGTATAAGAAACTTGAGTTTTAGTCTCAAACACAAATTTTCAATAAGTATGAATTATACATTGGAATTAAATCAATTTTATGTTTGAAAAATTGAATATGCAAATCAATTTTAGTAAATGATTTTTCTTCAAAAATCAGTTATATATAAGGTCTGTACATGTAATCAAACCTTTGACTTGAATGTAAAAACAAATGATACCTTGATTTTGTGGCCTTCTCTTCCGCTTTTTTCTTTTTCTGTAGAGAATCTAAACAAAATATTACAAATTGTAAAACTTTTTATAGGATTAGTATTGTCCATCTCACACCTGTCCAGTCTCTATCCAAAATTATCTAAACATTCTTGCCATGAAGTATTTTATAAAGTCACATACTCACTTTCTCTTTTAAAAACCACAGGAAACTATTTTAAACGGTACAACTCATTTCATACACAAGATATAAATGATAACAGAGTTCAATCTTTGTATCATTGAATTCACCAAAGTCTACATAGATGTAAGTGATGTTTTCAAAGGTAACAAATTTTGCAATGCTAGTATCTATTCAAATGTGCTTAAATCACGCACAGGTGAAACACTACATAGAACGAATTTGGTTTTTGTAAAGTATTTCAATGCATACAGTAAGAGATTTGATTTCATGCGGAATACTGAGGAAACGGGACTAAAATATCACCAGGTGTAACATGCTATCTATCATAAAACCATGACAAACATGCCTGCCAAGCAACGTCTGAATCAAAGGCGATACATCCAACACACAATGACAAACATGCCTGCTGAGCAACGTCTGAGTCAAAGGCGATACATCCAACACACAATGACAAACATGCCTGCTGAGCAACGTCTGAATCAAAGGCGATACATCCAACACACGACTACCAACAAAATCAGAAGCCAAATTCTAGCAGACATGACATCTACAGAGTCAATGAGAATGATTCATTTTATTCTTAAAAGACATAAATATCATAATGATAATAATGGTATATGATTAGGAACAGTCAGATATGGATTGTGAACCCACAGTACTGTTAGTCTTGTTCTGACCCCCTACCCTCTCCCCTCCCTGAACACCTGAACAATTCCTACAGTACTCCCTTCCTTGGTAATGACCCCCTCTACAATTCCTACAATACTCCCTTCCTTGGTAATGACCCCCTCTACAATTCCTACAATACTCCCTTCCTTGGTAATGACCCCCTCTACAATTCCTACAATACTCCCTTCCTTGGTAATGACCCCCTCTACCATTCCTACAGTACTCCCTTCCTTGGTAATGACCCCCTCTACCATTCCTACAGTACTCCCTTCCTTGAACTCTGAACTTCTCCCACTCCCCTTCCCAACCAATTCATACAATACTCCCTTTCTTGGTAATGAACACCCACCCCCTGCTCCTCCCCCCCCCCCCCCCCCCCCCCCCCACAACCTTACCTAACTACAGTGCTCCCTTTTCTTGGTCTGAACCAACCCCTCTTATCTTCCAATTCTTACAGTACTCCCTCCATCCCCATCCCAACAGCTACTGTACTCCCCAATACCTATATTATATTAGTAGTTAGTGGAGTGTACAAATTATATTATACACAATCACCAAAAAACAGGAATATATACATGTGTTTATCAATTAAAGCCTCATGTTATATACAGTAATCCTTGAGAACCTCCCCAGTAATATACAACTAAAGACCAAGTTTAACAGTTTCTATTCATGTTAGTACATTGTTAGAATTTTTAAATATAATGTTTAGTTTGGATCATGTTTATTCCCAGAAATGAAATGGATAAGGATACCAGCTAGAAATGTAAATGGAGTGGACCCATCAGGAATCTCCCTCTAAACTTAGAGTGGGGTAAGAAAACATCAGCTATCAAAATTCAAACTCTTAAAAATGTAATGAAGTGGTTTTTGCCAGACTTTTGAGTGAAAGTGTTACTTTTGAAATTGTTTCATGCCAATAACTAGTTCATTAGAATTAGAATTTTCAAAATGAGTGACTGATTTAACTACATCTCTTCTTGAAATGTTTTAATAATGATGAGATATTCTAATTTATCAGTCCAAATAAAAATAAACACACTTCCATCAAGAACAAATTAAGTGTAGACAGAATCTCCAAAGTTCTGCATTCTTGTATACACACACAGGTTTATACCCCATAAACTCTCAAAACAGTAAACTTTTAACTCCGTTTTTAGATTTTCTTATTTTTTATATTCTTTGATATTTTTTGTGTTAGTATATTAGGAACATTCATAACTTGCATGTTTTGCTGAACCAGAAGGAGAAAATACAAAATATATGTAAAAAAATGAAATCAACACAGTCGTTTGCTAACATTTTCAGGCCTAGTGGCCATCTTCAAGCAATTGTTTTAATTATCTTACCGATGCACAATGTATTTACAAGTTAAAGATATATATACACCCAAGTTTGATTGATGTATATTTATATAGACAGTATATAACAGATAAAATCACCAGACCATATCACCAGGAAGCCTGTAAACATTAGGGAGAAAAATGTTATTCTATATAGGGAACAGGTTATATAATGATGAATGAAGGAGAGGTGATGAAAAAGCTAAGTATGGCAACCCATATGGGAGGAAAACAGAATATACTATTGGTAGTATCTATGTACCTGATTCTGTTTCTGTAAATCAAAATAACAAGAATACAATGAAATGAGGATAATTTGTAAGAATGAAATACATGTTAAGGCACAGAGTTGCTGACATCTGTGTTGTGTCTCCAAAACAGAAGAGTTCTAATTTGTGTGACATTTATCTGCCTATTGGATTGTTGAAATAGAATAAAACTAGTATCACTGATTCCTTGTTCACATAAACATTTCTGTCTTTGATCCCATGCCTCTTAGTTATAAAGTGAAAAGCATAACAGTTGCATTTCATGTCAGGATATAAATGATCTGATTTTCTGTAACATTGCTGGAAAGGATTTCACAATATTTCAACCAACACACAAAAAGGATGGTAAACGGAAGGATATGGAGAAAATAAACCTAAACTTAACAGAAAATACTTTTCTTATATCCTCATACAGTAGGACAGGTGATTGAAATCTCTTTCTTAAAACACAACATGATACAGTCACCGACTTAGAAATACACATACAAATATATGTTTTATATCAACAAACACTTATCAATCTTAATAGGAATTAAGGTTCTGACATGTAACTAGTGAAGACACTTTGGTGACAGAAGCAATGAAACTGTAATGATTTTAAAAATAATTTAATTTACAGTCTACCACTATCAATTCATTTTTTAAAATTTTTAGTCCTCAAATAATTGTATTCTGACTTGAATTTAGGAAGTGGGCTTATTACAGGACAGTCAAATAAGATTTGTTTGTGATTCTTCTGAAAAAAACAATAGATAAAGGTGGGCTTATTACCAGACATGGCTTTATTACTGGATAAATACAGTCAAGGTTATAGATTGTACACTTAGTTCAATTTCCATGGTTTTTACCTCATATCCTAAAATAAGGTAATATGTTTTGAATGTACATAGTTTATCTTGTGTGGGGTATATTTTGTTGTCAAAATATTTTTACATACATTGTAAGAAGGAACATATTGAGTAACACCTTATAAACTTGAAGATTAGATTTGTGAGAAGTTGACAGGTACAGACAAGACACAATTATCTCACCTTGTAATGCTTTCCCTTTAGATCCAATGAGACCCTTCGCTTTTGGCTTGGGTTGTTCAGCTGGGGCCTGTGACAAAATTGAAGGAGATTTATAGAATACGAGATGGATTTAAAGAATGAAACATAAAAGCTAGGAGATTAAATGGATAAAAGATAGATTTATAGAGTAAGAGATAAAAGTCAGGAGAATTTTACTGAACTAATGGCTGTACAGTAGCAGAAATCAGAGACTATACGATGTGAAATAAGACATTTTATCTAAACTGGAAAGATAAAACCACTAAAAGATACCAATTATGGAAATTCTTCAATTTGAAAAAACTGAATCAATTTTGAAAATTTGATATATGAGTGGAAAGCCTTATACATAAATGTACAGATAATCATTGCTACTTACTTTGACCTCCGAATCCTCTGGGTCAAGTCGTGCTGTTTTGTGGGTTTTTGCTCCATATTGGATCATACATTTGATGTCCTTCTGATCCAGTCCGGTAGGAGTAAACACTCGCATAAACAGGAAGTTATCATACTGAGGCTCGTGAGTCCATGTAGACACCTCCTTCGTAGGTTCCACCTTCTCCTCATCGGCAAATCTCACTTTCTGTAAACAATCAGGTGACAAAAAAGGTAAACAGAGGACATCAGGTATCATCATACAGGCTTCTGGAACCTGTTTCTTTACAATCCGATCACGCCGGGGCTCAATAAAATGTGTGATTCCTGCCATTGTTTTTGACAGGGCTGATCATTGATGCTTACACAGTGATTGGTTTGATTGTAAGAATCAACTGAAAACCTAATAAAATTTGCTGGAACCTAAACTGTTTTATCTGTTAAAAGAGTTCTAGTTGTTGGTGCCCTATCTTGAGAGTTACCTACCTTTGGTGTTCCAACACGGCTGTTTGCACCTTCTGTCTCTTCTTTGGTCTCTTTATCTTCTTTTTCTTCCTCCTCCTCCTCACCCTCTTCTGCTGGTGTTTCAGCTTTTTCACTCTCTTCCTCTGCTACCCCTTCCTCAGCCTCTTCCTCCTCCAAATCCTGAAGACACAATATCACATCACTACAAATTTCTGGACAATGCATTGATCTAGATATTATGTATATTAAGTAATATAACCTAAGCATCAGAAATACCTAGAATCTTACTTCAATTTTCCACCCAATATCTTCAGAAATGGAGATTTTCAATTTAAATTATACCATTAAAGCTAAGTGATTAGTAAAATGGATACCTCTACATCGCTGTCACAGCTGGGTAGACTACATCAAACAAGAAATAACCTGATACATACTGATTATCACTGTTATTTAAACAGCTGGGCAGACTTAAACAAGAAATCACAAGATACATACTGATTATCACTGTCATTTAAACAGCAGGGTAGACTAAACCAAACAAGGAATAACCAGATACATACTGATTATCACTGTCATTTAAACAGCTGGGTAGACTAAACCAAACAAGGAATAACCAGATACTTACTGATTATCACTGTCATTTAAACAGCTGGGTAGACTAAACCAAACAAGACATAACCAGATACATACTGATTATCACTGTCATTTAAACAGCTGGGTAGACTAAACCAAACAAGGAATAACCAGATACTTACTGATTATCACTGTCATTTAAACAGCTGGGTAGACTAAACCAAACAAGGAATAACCAGATACATACTGATTATCACTGTCATTTAAACAGCTGGGTAGACTAAACCAAACAAGAAATAACCAGATACTTACTGATTATCACTGTCATTTAAACAGCTGGGCAGACTAGATCAAACAAGACATAACCAGATACTTACTGATAGTTTATCACTGTCAGCTCCATCATCATGTCTGTTCAACTTTATGGGCATTTCATCATCTTCACCTTCCTCATCAGAGCTCTCCTCTAACGCTTTTGAGTACTCTTGTACGTGTTCAAGTCTGTCAACAATGAGAGAAGTATGTTATGGTATGACCTGTGATGTCCTTAAATATCCTACCCTTATACCATGAAACAAGAATATTCCACATTACACTATGTAGGATAATGTCTCAACATCAGACCCTGTACAACTATGTCCCACATCAGACTCTGTACAACTATGTCCCACATCAGACCCTGTACAACTATGTCCCACATCAGACCCTGTACAACTAGGTCCCACATCAGACCCTGTACAACTATGTCCCACATCAGACCCTCAACTATGTCCCACATCAGACCCTGTATAACTATGTCCCACATCAGACTCTGTACAACTATGTCCCACATCAGACCCTGTACAACTATGTCCCACATCAGACCCTGTACAACTAGGTCCCACATCAGACCCTGTACAACTATGTCCCACATCAGACCCTGTACAACTATGTCCCACATCAGACCCTGTACAACTATGTCCCACATCAAACCCTGTACAACTATGTCCCACATCAGACTCTGTACAACTATGTCCCACATCAGACCCTGTACAACTATGTCCCACATCAGACCCTGTACAACTAGGTCCCACATCAGACCCTGTACAACTAGGTCCCACAGTATACCATGTATGACTATGTCCCACACCAGACCCTGTACAACTATGTCCAACATTACATCATGTACAAATATGTCCAACATTTTATCTTATACAACCATGTCCCACAGTTTACCTATCCTTTTGTTTATTAAAATCAAATGCTGGCCAGCAGTGTTCAATTTAGATAATTTGATTTAATTCAAAATATTTTACTTTTTACTTTCCTATTCAATCACAAGACTGTTAAAAAGGACCAGTAACATCGTGAAACCCCCAGTATCAGTACTTAACAACAGGACCAATATTCTATTAACATTATGAAACCCCCAGTATCAGTACCTATCAACAGGACCAATATTCTATGAAACCCTCCAGTATCAGTACTTAACAACAGGACCAATATTCTATTAACATTATGAAACCCCCAGTATCAGTACCTATCAACAGGACCAATATTCTATGAAACCCTCCAGTATCAGTACTTAACAACAGGACCAATATTCTATTAACATTATGAAACCCCCAGTATCAGTACTTAACAACAGGACCAATATTCTATTAACATTATGAAACCCCCAGTATCAGTACCTATCAACAGGACCAATATTCTATGAAACCCTCCAGTATCAGTACTTAACAACAGGACCAATATTCTATGAAACCCTCCAGTATCAGTACTTAACAACAGGACCAATATTCTATTAACATTATGAAACCCCCAGTATCAGTACTTAACAACAGGACCAATATACTATTAACATTATGAAACCCCCAGTATCAGTACTTATCAACAGGACCAATATTCTATTAACATTATGGAACCCCCAGCATCAGTACCTATCAACAGGACCAATATTCTATTAACATTATGGAACCCCCAGCATCAGTACCTATCAACAGGACCAATATTCTATTAACATTATGAAACCCTCCAGTATCAGTACTCACCCAAGCTGAGCTTTCTGTTTGATGGTTTCTATCAGGAACTTCCATCTCCTTCCATGTCCTTTGTTGCTCATTATCTTGGCAAACAATTTCTCCCAGTTCATTATTCTTTTCTCTCTTGCAATTCTTTTAGACTGAAAAACAACATATAGACATTGTAAACGAAAAATTCAGGATTTAAACTCATAAAAAAATTCTTCTTAAAAGGCCTCCCTTTCATTCAAATTGCTCGAAAGTATGGGAAACTGAAACTTTTGACACAAACAAGCAAATGTGTAAAAATTTCAGACTTTTTTTATCAGTTATCTTTAAAATTCCTTTTATTAAACATTCCAGTTCATTAATTCATAAGATAAATCTTACATGTGCATCCACGAGTTGAAGACGTTTGATGGCAATGTTGAGTTGTCTCTGCTTACTCTCATAATCTTCATGGAGTTTCTTTAGTGCAGTACTCTTTTCCTCCCAAGGGGTGGAGTACACATGCACTAAACGGACTAGTTCATTCACTGGCATATTCAGGTCACTAATACTGTAAATTAAAATGGTGACATCAATTTAACTGTAAATTTAACTTAACAAGGTCCATCCAAACTACAACCAACCTAAAGTACTGAAGCAATCCAATACTGATATTTCCCAGACTGGATACTGGTTGAAAAATTGCTGTGTAAGGCAAAAAGAAAATAAAACTGATGAACCGAACTTATCACTGATTTCAACAGGTATTCAGCAATGTAGCCAAATAAGGCAAGATGAAAAGTAAAACTTCCCATAACATTTTAATCTCATGCCATGTTTTGGATACGTAACCTTGGTAACATAATGGCTGTTTTTTTAAACTGATCTGGCTCTGGAAAATTGCATTTCACCAATCAAGACTAGTTAACTGGACGGCCTGGGTTTATCCTCAATGGAGGTATTTAGAAAACAATGACCAACTTTACACTAGTATCCATGTAGAGCCAAATTATGAACCAATAATCAACAAAAAGCCTTGCTCTTCAAGCATCACTTCTACTCATAAAACCTGATTATTTCCTAGAGTAGGAGTATGTTATCATAGTAAAATCCTTTCAAACCTACTTAGGTAGTGAAAAATTAAATTGGGTGTGTGCATGACTGACCTTCTGAATACTTTCCCCGTGATGGTGGCCAGTTTGATCAGCAGTGTTGGGGGTAAGGCATGTTTCAGCATCTCATCCTTCATATCCAGCAGCTGTAGACATTTTAACACATAAACTAATGATGTCATGTCAAATTGTGTACTACACACTAAAAGATAAGAATAAATCACAACTAGGTGGTAACAGAAGAAGCAAATATGAACCAATCCCAAAGAATGAGCCAGTGGATAATTTTCTTTTTTCCCACAAAGATCAAGTAATAGCAACAAGGACAAAGTCTCTGTTATAAATCATATGATTTTTGTACAACTGTCATTAGATTAAAACAAGTAAGCAGTTAACTTTTTAACAATTTTGATACTCTTCCCAACAGTGCAAAATAGGTCTGTCTGAGCATGCAGATGCTGATGTTGATGTAATTTATATATCCTATATGTACAAGTAAGATATATATAGAATCAATGGGGCCGGCCATCCTCTATTTTAAATGTATATTACACACACTAAATATAAATGCAGTGTATACACATACAGTAATGATTTATTCACAAACATAACGATAATGAAAATACCTCTCTTATGGATCCATGAACGAGTGCCATAGAGTTGAGAACCCCGTCACAGAGATTATCAAACTTGTTTGGCTCCCGTCTGGCTGACGGATCTGGTTCCTCATCCCCTGAACTGTCTGAATCATCCGAACTATCCTGTAATACAAACTTATATTTCTAAACTTTATTTCAAAACCGTATTAATATCAAAATCTACTGATCTCCAGCTAGGTGTAACTGACATGTATGATAGAGTAACCAAAATGCTTGTGATTTCCCTTTGTTTCATTTTATCGTTAAGGTAGCTGTCACAATACTTCACTGTATCACAGATCACATGACACTGCATCATCAGTAGCATTTCCTATCGGTAGATAAGCAGTGAAAAGTCCTACCCGTTTTGTGTTTTCCACTTCTTCCTCATCTTCCTCCTCGGCTAAAGCCTCCAGATTCAGTCTCCCTAGATGAAAATAAAAAGCAAATCAAGTTATTTCTCTATTGGTTTTTTTTTTTTTTTTAGCAAATCATTCCAGGTCCAATGTACACTATCACTGTTTTTTTTGTGTGTGTGTTCCACTGATAATGAAATTATAATAATTCTGTATTTGTATATCTTAGCATTATTTAGCATGTATAGACAACATTTGAATACTAAAACCCTAAATTCATTGCACTCAACACTTAAAAAGGTCCATTTAATGGTAACTGCATCAACATAAGTATACAAAGAAATGTAATAACAACAAACGAAGGTTTGATAAAGAAACACTAATCAGGGACAGAGACTTACTGTATGGAGTTCTCAGGACCACTTAATGATGGATATATATGTACATATAACATCAATATATATTTTATGTGAGAAGTTTTAATCAAAAGGTAATGTTTCCTGTTTTTTTGGGTTTTTTTTACCTGATTCCAAATCTGACATTTTATCATACAATGAAATAAATAAATAAATAACATTTGAGTATCAGACATTTCTTTTTCCTTGTAGCACTGACTAAAGCTGTTACAGATGCACTATATTTACTGTTACATTTGCAGTTTCATCCTACATGATGTAAAAACTCATTTTATTATACAATTTGTTTTGCCCCTCAATTTTCCATATATAACAGGGCACTTTCCCGTTTATTTACCAGTGATTTTTTAAGTATCTTCCATTGAAATTTTTGCCAGTTTAGTGGATGCTACATTAGCACCTCTAGTAGATTGTATAACAGTCGGTGGTGACATAATTAAGCCTCTTTGACTAAATCATAAAAAAATTAATTTCCAACCAAACAATGCTTGATTAATATTGCACGTGATACCTGTGTGTTATTAACTTCAGACATTGCTGATCTGTTGAATTAATTTGTTATTTATTATGCGATTTCATAACAATTACCCAACAAAACTACCATCAAAACTCATTAATTATTACTACTGATATGACAACACCACAAAACCACACAGCGAGATGAGAGTCGTCATTAATAATTTATACAGATGTCTCTCAATTAATCATAAGCTGTAAACGAGCACCTGCTGTATGCGACACTAGCGTATGGGAAATTAAGATGTTCTGTTCGTCAATATTAATAAAGCTTTTACCTCTATCCATGACAGGAAATTAGTATATAATCCAAATAACAGTCACAGTTCGACAATATCCTGACATGTATGCCTTTCCGCCGTGTCAGTAAAATCTTTAAATCAAGACCGCCATATTGTTTATAGAGCGGTTGCTACGCGTTGACGAGAGTCTCAGTTGAATGCGACTGTATTCGTCAGGCAAAGAGTTGACAAGTTCGACGCTTACCAGGAGCTTTATCCCCTGATAATTTTCCAATTCACATTGTTTCTTAATCCTAGGATTGTGAAAACACTATTTTTGTTACGAAAATTATTGTATAATAATGATTGAATTTTTTTCTTCTTTTTGTTGTTTTTTGTGTGTGTTTGTTTGTTTTTTTTGTTTTCCAATTAAACTTAATCTATTCCACAACAATAACAGAACAAGTTGTGTCAACGCAGGTGCATATTGCCAGGCAGCTGACCCAAAATCTATTCATGTTCAACCAGAAGTCTGACCACAGGATGACTTTAGAAGCAATTTTAAGAGATTATCCACCATAAACTCTGTTTTTCAGCAATCACCCACCAAACACCACTTTTGAAAGATTAGCTTAAAACCAGACATTATTCTTAAGAGATTACCCTACTGCCATTGAAACTATTACAAGAAATTACCCACCAACAATAGAAACTATTACCAACCAACCAAGAGATTACCCACCAACAATAGACACTATTACCCACCAACCAAGAGATTACCCACCAACAATAGACACTATTACCAACCAACTAAGAGATTACCCACCAACAATAGAAACTATTACCAACCAACCAAGAGATTACCCACCAACAATAGAAAATATTACCAACCAACCAACCAAGAGATTACCAACCAACAATAGACACTATTACCAACCAACCAAGAGATTACCCACCAACAACAGAAACTATGACCAACCAACCAAGAGATTACCCAACAACAATAGAAATTATTACCAACCAACCAACAAAGAGATTACCCACCAACAATAGAAACTATTACCAACCAACCAAGAGATTACCCACCAACAATAGAAAATATTACCAACCAACCAACCAAGAGATTACCAACCAACAATAGACACTATTACCAACCAACCAAGAGATTACCCACCAACAACAGAAACTATGACCAACCAACCAAGAGATTACCCAACAACAATAGAAATTATTACCAACCAACCAACAAAGAGATTACCCACCAACAATAGACACTATTACCCACCAATCAAGATATTACCCACCAACAACAGAAACTATTACCAACCAACCAAGAGATTACCCACCAACAATAGACACTATTACCAACCAACCAAGAGATTATCCAACAACAATAGACACTATTACCAACCAACCAAGAGATTACCCACCAACAATAGACACTATTACCCACCAACCAAGAGATTACCCACCAACAATAGAAACTATTACCAACCAACCAAGAGATCACCCACCAACAATAGAAACTATTACCAACCAACCAAGGGATTACCCACCAACAACAGAAACTATTACCAACTAACCAAGAGATTACCAACCAACAATAGACACTATTACCAACCAACCAAGAGATTACCCACCAACAATAGACACTATTACCAACCAACCAAGGGATTACCCACCAACAATAGACACTATTACCAACCAACCAAGGGATTACCCACCAACAACAGAAACTATTACCAACTAACCAAGAGATTACCCACCAACAACAGAAACTATGACCAACCAACCAAGAGATTACCCACCAACAATAGAAACTATTACCAACCAACCAAGAGATTACCCAACAACAATAGACACTATTACCAACCAACCAAGGGATTACCCAACAACAATAGAAACTATTACCAACCAACCAAGAGATTACCCAACAACAATAGACACTATTACCAACCAAGCAAGTGATTCCCAATCAACAACAGAAACTATTACCAACCAACCAAGAGATTACCCACCAACAACAGAAACTATGACCAACCAACCAAGAGATTACCCAACAACAATAGAAATTATTACCAACCAACCAACAAAGAGATTACCCACCAACAATAGACACTATTACCCACCAATCAAGATATTACCCACCAACAACAGAAACTATTACCAACCAACAAAGAGATTACCCACCAACAATAGACACTATTACCCACCAACCAAGAGATTACCCAACAACAATAGACACTATTACCCACCAACCACAAACACTGTTTTTTAGGAGACTACCATCAACCATAGAAGATATTTGAAGAGATTATTCACTGATTTTAGATGTTGTTTACTCTATTTAAGCAAATACCAGCCAACCATAACAGCTGTTTCTGAAGAAATTACTAAATAACCAAAGAAGCTGTTTTAAGACATCTCACTGCGACCATAGAAGCTATCTTAAGATAAATGATCTTCAGCTGACAAAAATCCAGTTTTAAATGCTAGTTATCCACTCATTTATGTGTGAAAGTTGTTTGGTCTGGGTTAGAAGTCATTTATTGGTTCTGGTAAAGAACATCTGTTGATTGCAGAATCCATTTCGTAAATAATCAACAAAGACTGGCAGATAGACATTCATAATTTTAATATTGAGTCTGTTACAATTACTTAATAGGCATTTATCCATTTATGTTAATTTATACAATCATTAATCAGTTAAATCATTCATTACTACTTTTTTAAAAACTAAGAAACTTTCCATTATTGTGTTACACTAAATCATTATAATACTAAGGAAGTATAAAATATATAGATATCTGATGGTTTACTTCTGAAGTGAACGTACCTGGTTTTTAAATTATGACAGAATTTTTCAAATGTACATTTTAAACGGGGGAAAGAATAAAAAAGTATAAAAAAAAAAAAACCAACGGAAACAGTAACATTATTCTTTGACATTGTGTAGTAATGGCATCATCATTTGATTATTTTGCAAAATCAAATTTCAATGTGCCTTGTACATCTTTTTCCCCAGGAAAATTACAGCAAAGTTAGTATCATTTACCGTTTTATTTGGTAAAAATAACCTTGTACTAAAAATATTTGATGTGATGAAATTGATACCTCCACAATTTTGCATGGAAAATAAATTTTGAAATTTGGTTTATGCTATATTTGAGGGAAATTCAACAGTTACAGAACTACCCCTGTCTGTTCAAAAACATACCAGTGTAATCTTGTCATGCTCATTATTTAAAATAAGTGGTACAAGTAGAATGAATAGAATTTCACAAAGATCTGGAATTTTCTGAAATTTTATAAAATATACATTTACCATGTAATGATGTACCATAATCATTTCTCATAAACAATATCAATATATTTCTATCTCAATAATATCCTTCTTTTTATGAAAACAAGCAGAAAAAGATATCTTGATTGTTTGTTGTCAGTTGAGGAAAGCCGCAATGGTTACACAATAACAATTTGAGTATATTTACAGAATAAAAAGATGCTGGTTGAAAGCCATTGCAATAATATCGAACAGAATCCTAACTCACATTAAATACCCCAAGATACAAAACTGAGATGACATGTTCTTAAAATAAAGTAGAACAGCAGTTATCTTTTCATTTGCAGAAATTTTCATTACGAAAGCAGAACAAAATCAGCAGCTGAAGCACGTTAATATCTTCTCTACAGCACGTTAATATCTTCTCTACAGCACGTTAATATCTTCTCTACAGCACGTTAATATCTTCTCTACAGTCTGAAGAGGAATTTTCTACTATTAATGCATTATATGTCTCATATCAGGTTAAAATACATGTCTGATATTGTCTAGTGATCATACCATACCCTACCAAAATCCTAACCATGTTTCTGTGTGTAGTAAAGATTAATTCAGTATAGATAATGATAATTCTAGTATATTTACCCCTGTTGTAATGACTACTTCAGTGTACACAATGATTCCAGTGTCCCTTTTTTCAGTGTTCATTGCCTATAACGTTTTGTACATTTGCTGTTGATTCAGAACTTTTGTTATTTTCTCAAGGAGACTATACAGGTTCTTACTATTCTGCATCTTCAATGCGATAACGAACTAGCATACTTTTGTTATCCTCATCAGATTTCACTGTTTTTTATTCAAAATTTCAAATATTTAATCTTTTCAACAATTGAAGACAGAGGCAATATTATTCCTCACTTAATGCATGTTGTTTTTTTTTTAAATCTTAAAATAACAAGGAATTGGCAATTTATCTCAGAAATACTCCGAAAGACAATAGTACAGATAAGTTTTTTTTTAAAACTTCCCCTTTATTTAGAATCTTTTTTTCAGATATGATATTGTCACTTGCTTAAAATGTATTGGTAACAACATGTATTACAAAGGAAACTTGGGCAAATTTCTTGTTTCAACCTAATTACCAATCTTCAACACTAATAAGTATAAACATATACAATACAATCAAATTTGTAAATATGATTCAATTGTTTATTAACTTCTGTAAAATATGGTATGTGTAATTGAATATATACTATGTACATGTATACATTATTTACAAATCATCAAATTTACGACAGTATTATATTCCATTAAATAAAAACACTCTGAGCAGAACTAATACAATGCAACGACAAAGCACAAAACTATAAATTATCCCATCAGTCATGAAAAAATGTTTTCTCGTCTGAATTAGGAAACACTTTTTCGTCCCCTCAGAATGTGAAACTCCACCATTCACAATAAAATGATTTCCTTTTCACACAGAGATATCCTTTACATGTTACACACAAGAGTATGATTATAATCAGCTCTGAGGCTAAGATTTGTGCCACCCCTTTGACTAAGATTTGTGCCACCCCTTTGACTAAGATTGGTGCCACCCTAGATGCTAAGATTTGTGCCACCCCTGAGGCTAAGATTGGTGCCACCACTGAGGATATGATTTCTGCCACCTCTAAAAGAATGATTTCTGTTGTCCATGTGGTTACCATTTCTCTCACCCTGAGAGTATAATTTTTCACTAGATTGCAGATTACAAATGACAATATCCATGGGTTTAAAACATATGATTGATCGGATGTGATATTCCCTATTATCAAAGGTAAGGCAAAGAAATATTAACCCTAGTGATGAGATCTTTGTATGTCTATCACTCCATTTAAAGCAAGGATTTTGTAAGACAATCAGCCCTTAGATCATTTTTTATGTCATATCCTCACATCAGTTGAAAAATCTATTTGTAATCCACATGCTCATCAAAGAAAGGTTATCAAATTTAGTTTATAACACCACTGGATACTTGCCAGTCAATAATACACCAAGAAATATACTGTAATAGAAAGTATATAATCAGCTGACAATTGTCACAGGAGAATTATCCATGTGAAGTACAGACAAAATAAATCCTTGTCTTTTGGATAGTGTCACTAGGTGGAGATTTCTGACAAAAAAATCACCCTTCAGACTGTCGTTTTCTTGTCTTTATCAGGAAGAGGAGAGCTCCATCAATCAAATCTATACATCACAAACTCACCGACCCATACAAAGCTCCTTTGGGTCATCATGTAGTTAAGATGTGATAAATACTACATATTTCTTGTTAATCAAAATCACTCTGTAGTTAACAAAATTGTTCCAGTTCAACTTCTGAGCTACATCTGGTTTTGTCTATGCCCTTCTCCTTACACAAACTTGCACACAACCATTCATGTTTCCTGTTACAGTCTATGTTGAAGTGTCTTGCTCACTAATTCCGTTACTGCCTCCGAAGGTTCTCTAGTCTAGCCTCTAGGTCAGCATCAGCATCACTCACTCCTGCAGCAGCTGCTGGCTGTTTGTTGGCTGGAGTTGTTGCACCTATGGACTTACCAGTTGATGGTAAATCTGTAAGAACAAACCATATATGAAGTTAAAGCTTGCTCCTAGAGACAATACAAGTATAAAGGAACTCATAGACATCTGACACTCAAAAATGGCTGAGTGTTAAACTGATAACGATACTATATCAACAAAAAGTATATTTACATGTTACCATTAATAATATACCCTCTAGTATGTTATTTCTTTTTTAGAAGTCAGTTTTTAAATTCACTACTTCTTATAAATTCCACATTTTAGGAATCAAATTTATATTCTCATCACTGACAGGATGTAAACCCACATGTGGTGAAAAGCTGTCTTATTACATCATCCATTCATATCAAGAAGTTTATATATAAAACACTGCGACATAAGTATCTAGTTTCTTACCTGATAGCTGGTCAGTGAGTTGTAGTCCTAACTCATCTAACACCTGTGCTACCACAGCATCTCTGTAACATCAAAATAACCATTTTTTTTTATTAAACATTACAATTTCAAAAAACAAAAATTTTATTAAATTCAATCTTCCAATTCTTCCAAACCACTTATCAAGACACATTTCTAAAACAGATTATTACTACCTTTTTCTTCATGGTTATATGAGTGAATCAGGTAGGTTTTTTCCTATAAGGATAGGGTTATAGAGAATCGTTTTGATTTTTTTCCTATAAGGATAAGGATATAGAAGTGGATCAGGTAGATTTCCCTATAAGGATAGGGTTATAGAAGTGGATCAGGTAGATTTCCCTATAAGGATAGGGTTATAGAAGTGGATCAGGTAGATTTCCCTATAAGGATAGGGTTATAGAAGTGGATCAGGTAGATTTCCCTGTAAGGAGAGGGTTATAGAAGTGGATCAGGTAGATTTCCCTATAAGGATAGGGTTATAGAAGTGGATCAGGTAGATTTCCCTGTAAGGAGAGGGTTATAGAAGTGGATCAGGTAGATTTCCCTATAAGGATAGGGTTATAGAAGTGGATCAGACAGATTTTCCCTGTAATAATTAGGTTATAGTACTGAATGGGGTGGACTTTCCCTACCTAGAAGTGGGTTATTGAAATAACACTTACGACTCCTCCTCATCATCTTCATCGCCCATAGCATCATCAATAGCATCATTCATCATTTCTTCTTTCATGTCCATCATTTCTGACTGCTTCTCAAATTCCATCATTATTTTCTGAATCTGGGGCAAATTCATCTGAGAAAAACAAACACATTTGTAAAAACAACCGTACTAAAGTCTAATGCATTCAAGTGCCAAGCTTGTTCAGGGTATTGATTTATTTTATTTGCAAATTTCATTTAGTTCTTAGAAAGTTACTGAGGAGAACTGTGTCATATGGACATTCACCTTGCATTAATTTTTGGGAAATACCAGTACCTTACTTTGTTTTAAAAATAATAAAACTAAATTTAAAAGGATCTGGTATCAATATGTTTATCACAAAAACCCTACATTGAGCTTATTGTTATTTATATAGGTGTCAAAAATTCATCACATGGTACCTGTTTGTTCATGGTCGCCATTGCTTTTGTAACCCCCTTCATCGCCTGTGCCATGGCATTGTTGGACTTCAATGTCTGTATCTTAAGTGCCACAGCTTGAATATTAGCTTTCATCAGTATGAATTTCTTCACATACCGTCTTGTCCTGACCAAGTCTTTTGCCATAATCTTTACAGCATCCTGACAAAAACATAGATAACAAATGATTACCATTGAACCTGAAATGTATGACAACCTACTTAAAATGATAATTCCTTTTCAGGAGGTGAAATAACTAACATTAACTTAAGAAACACATTGTTGTAAAATAAATTTTGATATAGAAAACTTCACTTATAGTTGATGTAAATCAATCTTAATTATCATCTGACTGATATCAGTAAGAAGATTCTTTCTAGTAATATTTTTCCACTTGACTATAATAATTGCAGTGAACAGACATATGCTGTTATATTTACCATCTGTCCAGCTTTAGCCATTTTTTTAATATCTGCAATGACTTTCTTTTCTTGTTGTTCCATCTTTGACCTTTCTCTATCAAGCTCTCTCATGGCTTTATTTAATGCCCGCTGATTCTGTCTCAGCATCTCCTCTGGGGTCTTTTTACGACCAAATAACCATTCCAAAGGCATCTTTATAGTTCTTCTTTCAATCTGTCTAACATAATTTACAGAGGACAATCACATTATTTGCCAGAATTTACAAAGGGCCAATTACATTACTTGTTAGAATTTGCAAAGGACCAATCCCATTATTTGTCAGAATTAACCAAGGACCAATCACATTATTTGTCAGAATTAACAAAGGACCAACCCATTATTTGTCAGAATTAACAAAGGATCAATCATATAATTTGTCAGAATTTACAAAGGACCAATCACACTATTAGCCAGAATTTACAAAGACCAATCACATAATTTGTCAGAGAATGTGAAATAATGAAACAGTCCCAGGTCAATTGACAAAGTTTATATTGCTTACTGTAAATGTCCTATCAACATCTTCATATAAGGATATATTTATGATTCTTTTGCTTAATGTATGGACCATATTAATGGTAAACTGTCTGTTTGTCAAACCACATGCACAAGATTGTCAACAATATAAAGACAGGGGTCCGGAAAAGCACTCGTCCGGTCGTCATGGACGAGTGAAAATTGTCTCGGACAACCAGATTTATCTTTGTCAGTCGTCCGTCGGACAAGTGCTTTTTTCCAGTGATATTAATGTTACAACTTAAATTTCAATAAAAATGTAAAGAAAATTTTAAACAAAGAAACATGTTTACGGCACTTCGAAAACAAAATATTTAAGTCTGCTCTCTAACTTTCGATTACACCAGAACTCCCATGACGTCAAATATTGCATTCGGAATACCTTAGTCATTTTCCTGTGGTCAAACTGATGTCAGATGCTCTCGTTCTTAACAGCACCTAGTCAGTCGGATGTAAACAAACACTACGACTTGACCCAAGTCGAGCAAAATGTCTGACGCAAAGCAGCCATCACTGCATAGGTTTTTCACTAAAACTTCAAATAAAATACAAAAAAGTCACATGTCATATCCTTGCTGATTAAGTCACCATTTCATAGCTGAATCTGGACAAGTAAATTTCCAATCCGGACGAGTTTCATCCCACCAGTCATGTGCCTAGTGGTTTAAAATATTTTTCCAGACCCCTGAAAGATCAGTTGTTCTATAGACGACAATTACGTGTACCCTGTACGCTGCTTTATTATTCATTCTACTAACTGACAACATTAAAGTAAGATAAAGTACAGTTCATGAGGATGTAACACTTACCTACTATTGATTATTATAGCATGTAAGTCTATATTTCATTGATAAATAGCCAAGGCTTCTACAAAAATAAGCAAGTTTTCATCTTTGCAAACAACTCCAGAAACCCATGATTGCCTAATTGTTGTCAGTAAAGCACTGATTGGCTGATAGCACCTTGATGTCAAGATTTCTGGAAAGTATAGGCAGCAATGGTACAACACCTATAGATGATGTGACATCACAAAGTGAATAAAAGCTGATGATGAGAGAGTGTTGACAGCATTTTGTTGTAAGCAGTACCTGTTTCTAGTTGGAGCAACGGCAGCATTATAGGTTATAATGCAGTGCTAACACCACCTTGTGTGATTAACAATTTTCAGCTGAATCTTCAAGAGCACCTTCATGAAGATGTGAATGGAAGTGTTTAATAAGAAAATTTTTATTTTGTGTATCAATATATCCTATCATTTGTCGAATATCTATCCTATAACTGTCATGTTTTTTGTTAAATTATATTTCAGGCCAATAACATGTCTAATGGTCACTGCACCACCTTCAGTGTAAGTAGTACCTTCAATGTTTGGAACAAATTGTAACACTGTAAGTACCACATCACATATTGAGCAAGGAGTAACAAATACCAGTTCAAGGCCACTGTAAGACAGTGTCAAGGGAGACATTCATGTAATCATATACTATAAGTAAATCCGAGATCTTGTTTTAATTTATCCCTATATCAGGTACAAGTAGTAATCACTGTTATGCATTGAACCAAACCATCTGCACGCCAAAAGAAATTAGTAAGCGTAGCTTTAAAAGTAGATGTAGAAAACTAGTAACTACTATTTGTTACTGATACAGACAGTTCCTAAACAACCACCTTGCATTGTCAACTTGATTTGGAGAATACCGGAAATAAGTCATATGTTTCTATTAGTCCTTTGTAATATGATCTGATTTGCTTTATCGATATATATAACAGTAAATACTTACCAAAAGTGAAAAGAAATCGATCAACGTTCAACTTGACTAGATACTTTCGTGACTGTGAGTCAGGAACTGAGGAAGAGTGTTGTTGATGTGTGTGACGTCATTGAATCATGTGTATAATCTCTAACAAATAAAAAGAAAGACATGGTAGTGTAAATAATGTCTTTTTTAAATTTTCTAGCAGACTATTTGAAATGTATAACATAGTGTATGAAAATATCAAGTAATTAACGTTTAATATGGTATTTTATTTGTTTTATGACATTTGCAGACAAAAAGCACTTTGTGTGGTAATGGAGTAAGATGGCGGCTTTGTGGCAGTGCTGTGCAAAAAAGGGGTAAAAAATCTTTCTATGACAAAATTTCGTGCTTTCAGGAATGAGTGTATGGTGTAGGGAAAAGAAGAAAGTTTTTATGTAGCCAGATATTGGCCTTTTGGTACATTTTCTGACTTGTATATTTCGAAATTCGAACGTAAATATCTTCAATATTGTCGCCTCAGCAATTTACAGCTGTTCTGCGTCTTTTAATTTTTGCTACAACGAAGTAAAATTTTTTGTCATACAATCATTACACCAATTTTCGAAAGTTTTTAAGATGAATTAAAATGGGGTAATATGTTATATTAGCGAGACAGAAACTTTAAAATACCATAGTCTACCTGAGTTCAGACGTAAGAAGTTCTTGACACATTGCCATAGGTCTACTGTAGTCATGGGCATGGCTATATTGCGTCACTGACTACATTACCTACATATATTTTACAATAGATAACAACATACCCATAAATATCATTGAATTGTATATGCTCCATCCCAGAAATGTCTTTACTATTGTTGTGAAAGTGCCCCACAATTTACTTATTGGATACAAAATATCAGGTTTGTTTCTGGATCATTTATCTTTGACATCTTAAACTTACAACATTATTTCCTGAACAAGTTAAGTATCCTAGTTTCTTCATATATTATGGCAGCCATAATAATCATTTGAAAAAGCGTCTTAAAGAAATAGTGACATTGATAAAGCATTGAAAGTATTCATTATCATAAAACCAAAGTACGCATGTGAATTTCAATGCTATAAAAACCTCTGAAAATAAAAACATTTTTATCTCATACAAGATGTATGCAGCCATGAAATATAGAGACATAATGGAAATGTTCTTTTGCCTTTTCAGGTGAGAAGTAGTGAATTACAGGAATTGCCTACCAATGTGTGAAGCTTTATAGTTACCAAACAAATGACTAAGTTGACACAGCAAGTCACTGGGTTGGTCTTGTAGGGGGCAAATATGATCAGATATGAATGGTTTATTTTTATATCTTAACCTGCATATTTCCTTCTTTTCAGCATCCATTAAAAAGTTCATTTGTTTTTGAACTGATCAAAGACCCAGGAACTCACTACAAGCAATTAAAGGGAATCATCCCTTTTGCCCGACTAAGAACACATTGCACAGACTGCCCATCTGGGGACGCTGACAAAGTAACATCACATAAGTAACAAGTCAACATCGGAACTTTTAGAACTATCAACAAATATGTCAGCTGTAAGAAAAATGAACAGTCCTCAGTGGAAGGTAATAATTAGGACAGATAATAGTGATAATCGTAGAAATCTTTTAGTTACATACACATGTTCATAATAGTCTATTAGTTTAAGACTTTGAACTGGATACTTGCTCAAATATTTACATATTAAGACATGAAGACCTAAGACACCATCACCAATCAAATGCTGCATCAAGTAGAATGAATCATTTCACCAGTACTAACATTTGTCATATGTTAAAATGAAACAGTCTTTCATTGATGTTACAGTGCAAATAAATCTGATGTCATTTTCACAGTTCAATGTAAAAGTGTGACTCCAGTGAAACTGATTGAAAGTTTAAATCGGCTGGTTACAATGACAATCATTTCTACTAACATCTTTTTATCACCTGTTGGTCAAACTTAAGGATGAAGTAGGAAAATATGTGAATTCAGTGTTTCATTTCATTGCTGTTTCAGAATTTCCAGCCGCCCGCACAGGATCCTGCCATTCTATCCTATCAGCAAGGTTCAAACATTGTTAGTCCTATACTATCACCTACTTCACCTGCAAGTACGAGCAACATCAGAGAAACTGGGTTTATAGAAAAACTGCTACACTCATATGGATTCATTCAATGTTGTGACAGGGAGGCAAGGCTGTTTTTTCACTTCAGTGAATATGCCGGCGACATTAACACTGTGAAAATTGGAGGTGAGTCATGATGTTGGCAGCTATGATTAAAATAACGTTGAGGATTTTAAGGTTGATGTAGAGGATTTGAAATAATAACATTATTGCTTTAGTATCATTTTGTAGAGGATATGATAGAAGCAAACAGTCTCCATTATAAGATATAGCAACACTTTTGGAATAAACATTCCAAATTTCATAAGTACATTTCTTAAAAAAATATTTCAACATCTAAATTGTATTGGCATTGAAGGTAAGATTTTCCAGGGTATTTGTCAAATTTATGATGAATGAGATGTTGCTGGTAATGTTTCATGTTGTGTCATGTTTTCAGCTAAATGATTATTGTTTTCATATTCAGATGCTGTAGAATTCCAAATGAGCTGTGACCGCCGAACAGGACGCCCCATTGCATGCTCTATAGGTAGAATAGATAAGGACGAGGTATCATTTGAGGTGCTGAGTGAGGAGAGGTTTACAGGATCTATTGTGCAGGAAGCAAGACCAGTTAAGAACAAAAACGTATGTCATGCTGAAGAATAATTCTCACCAATGTTCTGATAAATTTAAGGGTTGAATTGGTGAGCTTGAACACTTCTGAGTCATAAATGTGCTGGCATTAATCAATCTTTATACCTGGTATTTATGAAATAAATAAGACAGGTAGTAGAAGTGAAAAATACCCCTCCCTCACTAGGACTGGAGTCACCAACACTCTCTGAACTGACATCATAATTTTAGGCTGCATGGAAAATTCCACCAGTCATGACTTGTATAATGGAGTGTAAGCTCGTAGCTTATAAAAAGTTCCATAAATATCAGTTGCAAGTGAGCTCTGCACACCTCAGTCCCCACTGATTTGTCACAAAATAGTGATTTCACTGTGTTTGTTTGACAGGGTTGTATAAATGGACAAGCAGATGGTCTAGGACGAGTAACATATGAACACAACGGTGAATGGTTCTTTTTACCATATGGACTTGATGATGTAGTTGAAACTGGAAATGCTTGTAAGATCAAAAGTGGAGACACTGTCACTTTCTACATAGCTACAGACAAAAGGTTTGTACTATATTTCTTAAATGACATGTCAGCAAAAAATGGAAAAGAAGATGAAAATCTTCAATTATTATAAAAGATGTTAAGTGAATTAAATTGAAAGCAAATAAAGGTACAGCTTTGTAACAGTTGATGGAAGGTTATTATTGTTTGTTACAGAATATTGATCAGACCCACTCCATAGATGTTATAATGATATAGAATTCAATTTAACGTTTTTTACACGTAGAAATGCAAACATACATGCAAGGAAGTTGGAGGTGATGGCAGTCCCTGCAGTACAATCACGATGTCAGGGTGTGGTGTGCTCAATGAAAGACTCCTTTGGCTTCATAGAGCGGGCAGACATGGTCAAAGAAATCTTCTTCCACTACAGTGAATTTAAGGGCGACATTAACGATCTTATACTTGGTGATGATGTAGATTTTGATGTGCAGACTAGAAATGTAAGTAATTTCTAAACATTACTTGTAAATGTGATTTAAGATCGTAACTGTACAGTATACTTATCAAAAGAAGAATATATTTTTACATGTTTTACCAAGTTTTAGCAAATGTACTGTTTCAAGGAAGAAAAACGTTTTTATTTTAATTATTTATTTTGTTTGTTTGTAGGGAAAAGAAGTGGCAGTTAATATCTCTAGTCTTCCAGAAGGTACAGTGATATTTGAGGATATTGGTCTGGATAGGATTGTTGGCAATGTAGTCAAAACCCTTAAAAATGGCCGCAGACAAAGTGATCCACTAGGGGGAAGAATCAACTTCGAGGGTCCAAAAGGGTATGTTGCAATACAATTTCATATCTTTTCAATACAAACTTAGAATAGAGGCCATTGATTACATTCAATTTATTATAATCATAAATGACTAACTTTTTGTTAGTATGTACTTTGTTTGATATATATTGTTGGCTATGGACTTTTCAGCTTAACAGAAATGCCATTTGGGGACAAAGATCAGGTGGGAGACTACACCCTTTGTCATGGAGATCTGGTCGAATTCAAGGTTGCCACAGACCGACGTGACAAACTACAGCGTGCTACATCCATCTGTCTTCTTGAGAAAGAAACATTTGAACAGAACAAAGAGAAACGGGAAACGGTCTGTTGCATTGGATATTCAGAGTGATAATAACAATAAATATAGCAATGATTTGCCTAGTGTTTAATGTTGGAATGTAAGATAAGGTTTTATAATTTTAGTATCTTGGCTATAAGCAGCTATCAGTTTTTCTTTTTCAGACCTAAATCTAACATTCAGTCTGATTGATTTGTATGTACATTAACTGTCATTTTGCTGAAATTTCTTTTCCTAAATGTGAAATGTTAACTTTGACTTTGTGAGTACATTGACTATTACTTTTCATTACACAGGGTGTAATTGTTAGCCTGAAGGATGGCTATGGCTTTATTCACTGTGCAGAGAGGGACTCCCGCATGTTCTTTCACTTCAGTGAAATGTTGAATGGAGAAAAAGAAGTGAAACCACAAGAAGAAGTTGAATTTACTGTGACTCAGGTAAGATTAACATCTATATTTATGGTGTTTCAGTCATATCCATTTGAGGGGGACATTTCTGCTTAAAGGGATTAAATGGTTAGATTTCGTTGTTTTTTTCCCATGCGTTTGATTTTTGGTTTGTAATACTTAAAATTAGACTCTTCACAAAATTATAACACACTTTGAGAGAAATTGATAAAGATCATCAACTTCAAACTAATGCTAGTGGACACTCGTTTTTGTGTCTACCACCCTTCGCTGCTTTGATCGGAGGTAGCCGAGTTCATCACATTACCTTTTGGAGCCTCTTTTTAATGCACTGTTTTGGTATGAATTCTTGTTTAACTTTATACGCATGACAGAGAGTAATACATGAATTTGAATTAATCTGAATCTAAAATTCCATGTACAAAGACATTGTTTACTCTCTCCGAACGACCGGTTTGTTAGTTCACCTGGCCCGATATTTCATGGTATCAGTTTAAGAATTACAACCTTTGATAGCAGGGTTATGGCCCTTTTTTCTGTTTTAGTGTTATGGAGTTATACGTCACAATACAGTATTGAAATTGCTCATTATCACAAATTTGGAAATTTTACACATTGATTCCTTCAACATTTCTGGCAATCTTCAATTTGTACAAATATTGTTCAGCAGTAACATGCTACTAAGTTTGTAGACTACACTTCTAGTCTTCTTTATTCTTAGATTAGCTTTAAGGCCCAATTACCTTGTGTTTGTTCATTTACATAATTAATTTTATACACACATTTTTAAGTTCTCCAAATGGATTTTTAAAAATTAAGTATATACCAGGTGACTGCTGCAGGCCTATTTGGACTCTTGTTTTGTATTTAAAATGGTTAGGATATACTTGAACTTACTTCTGTAAATGGTCTTGCTTGAATCATATAGACAGTAGTTCCAACCCACAGACCATATGATTTACACCTATGACGAAATAAATACAAAAGTCAAAACCCAAGTCTCAAGGTGCACATGTTTTTGCTGGTGTGCAATACCAACCCAATTAGGGAGGATTTCACTTTGCATGATGTGTTATTATCACCACAGAACAAATGGAACCATACTTATCGAAGCAAACTTTATATCATATTCTGTCTTCATATTCTAATAACTTCCAAATTTAACATTTTCTTGACAGGACATATCTACTCCGGATCGACTGATGGCCATTCGTATCAAATATCTACCCAAAGGCAGTGTCAACTTCACACATGTCCGTCCAGAGAAATATATAGGCACAATTGAACGTGAGCCTGCTTTACAAACAAGTCCAAGTACGGTCATTCACGGACATTTCAATATACTGACAACAGATCTGCATCACCTGCTATTAATGGGCTTGGTATTTCCTCTCACTATATATCACTATCTCAACTTCTTAGTTGGTGTAAGATTTGACCTATAATAAACATGTTCACAGTAACTAGAAATGTGGTGGTGAAATAAAAGAATAGTTTAGACCACCTGGACCAAAAGTGTCAATGTCTTATCAAGTTTCCAAGATGACTACCGTAGCGATTTACGTTTTAACTTCTAGTAATCTGCTGAAACAATTTAAAGAAGCCTGAACTTATATGTTCGTGAAATTGGTGTTACCATGTGCAGTATATTATGTATACAAATATCTTTCTTAAAAAAAATACATCTTGTAATATTATTTCAAATGATGGATAAGGTCCTTTGGGCCTCATTATTGGATAAACACATTAGATGTGAATGTAATACCAAGCCCTTTTAGCATATTTATGTGTTTAATATCTGATGTCTTCTATTGAATTAACCTTGAAGGATTGCTGCTGGGAAATCTTTTTTTATAAACCAATTTCATGTTCTGAAAAAGCCTTTTGTAAAAATGTTTACTCCCAAAAAATTAAATTGATATGTGATAATTAACTAACCAGAAATCCTCAGTGTCTAGGTAAACAGAAAGAGTACATTCTCATGGGCAATCCATTCACTGCTCCCATGTAGATGGAATGAAGTCAGTATATTTTATTAATATATTTTTGTTTCGTTTTCCTCTGTTACCTATTACACAGTCCCTTGTATTGTTTTGCATGCATATTATTCATTTTCCATCTCATTACAGTAGTAGATTGGAATTGATATGCATGCAAGTCAAGAGTGGACCATAATTTATATCCATATTTATGCATGAAAATTAAAGAATTCGTGTTAATGATAGATATTGTTTCAGTCATTCCAAACAACTGCTAAAATGAAAAAATACAATTGTTTAAAGTGTTTTCCTTGATTTTTTGAAAATATTGTACATGATTTAAGGAATCTTTTTATTAAATTATTTCAACTTTCTTTTATCTTTTATTTCAAGAAAAGGGTACAATTTTGATATCTTTTAAGTTATACTAGAGAGGTAGATGGAAATTTCATTGAGATTTATTCTAAAAACAAGTTATTTTTAGATCAGCTTGGCCAATCAAACATTTAAAACTTTTAATGCTGTTCAGAATCAGGCAGTAGATATTAAGTGTACTATAATAAAGTAGCAAGGAATATTCAGGTTAAAGTTGTATAATAATTTCACATCCTTCAGAAAATTCACACGGCATATGATCCAGAAAATAGAGTAGGAATATTGACAGTAAATATATCAAATTGCTTTTCAAACAGCCAAGAACAAAGATTCAGACTGTGGGAACATAATTTTCGACTTTGAAGGAACTATCCAGCAGGTACCATATCAGCTGAAGGACCTTGTTGATCCCAGGTCCCCACCCAGATATGGTGACAAGGTAAATATATAACCACAGATCACCACCCAAATATGGTGACAAGGTAAATATATAACACAGATCACCACCCAGATATGGTGACAAGGTAAATCTATAACACAGGTCACCACCCAGATATGGTGACAAGGTAAATCTATAACACAGATCACCATCCAAATATGGTGACAAGGTAAATATATAACACAGGTCCCCACCCAGATATGGTGACAAGGTAAATCTATAACACAGGTCCCCACCCAGATATGGTGACAAGGTAAATATATAACCACAGATCACCACCCAGATATGGTGACAAGGTGACAAGGTGAAAATATAACCCCAGATCATCACTCAGATATAGTGACAAGGTAAATATATAACACAGATCACCACCCAGATATGGTGACAAGGTAAATCTATAACACAGGTCACCACCCAGATATGGTGACAAGGTAAATCTATAACACAGATCACCACCCAAATATGGTGACAAGGTAAATATATAACACAGATCACCACCCAGATATGGTGACAAGGTAAATCTATAACCCCAGATCACCACCCAAATATGGTGACAAGGTAGATATATAACCCCAGATCACCACCCAGATATGGTGACAAGGTAAATATATAACCCCAGATCACCACCCAAATATGGTGACAAGGTGAATATATAACCCCAGATCATCACTCAGATATAGTGACAATGTAAATATATAACACAGATCACCACCCAGATATGGTGACAAGGTAAATATATAACCACAGATTACCACCCAGATATGGTGACAAGGTGAATATATAACGCCAGATCATCACCCAGATATAGTGACAAGGTAAATATATAACCCCAGATCACCACCCAGATATGGTGACAAGGTAAATATATAACCCCAGATCACCACCCAGATATGGTGACAAGGTGAATATATAACCCCAGATCATCACTCAGATATAGTGACAATGTAAATATATAACACAGATCATCACCCAGATATAGTGACAAGGTAAATATATAACACAGGTCACCACCCAGAGATGGTGACAAGGTAGTTTTATAAATAACTCAGAATGATGACCAGGTAAGTATATAGCCATAGGCAGACTTTGTGTTGAATCAGTCTCTTTATCCTTTTGAATTGTTGAAAATGGAAAAGACTTTGTACCATACAGAAGAACCCCAACTAATCTGAAAATCTTGCCATTTATTAAATACCTAGTGCAAACTCTGATAGGTCCTCACACAGATATAGTGATAGATAAATTAGCATTCTATCATTTAAAAGATTGACACCATTTTCACTTTGAAATTTCAAATGGCAATGTAATTTTTTTAACATGGTACATGTACTACATGATTCACATACTGTGGACAAGACTGTAAATGTAATGTATATTTAAAAAGAAAGAAAAAGGTTAAACGTTGCCTAGGATTAATGAAAATAATTTGGGATCTCAGGTTTTGTCATTCCTAATATCTTGTTGACAAGAGACAGTAACATTTATTCTAATGAGGAGACTTAGTAAAATATTTTTGCTGTGATGATGAGCATTAGCTCACAAATATTTTATCATATACAGGTTTGTGTTGGAATTCTGAGGATAAAATATTGTGTGTTGATGGGAAGGAAAAGTATGTAATCTTTATTAAGATAAAATACCACTTGCTTTACAGGTTGAGTTTAACCTTGCCGAGATCAAGAGGAACAATACTAGAGGTGCTGTGAATGTGAGGGTGCTATTTAGAAATGTGGCCAGTAAATGTCTTGGGTTTGTAGCAACACTCAAAGAGAACTATGGCTTTATCGAAAGTGCGGATCATGAGAAAGAAATCTTCTTTCATTTTAGGTAATTATTAAGTGACTTGACAACTTTTTCAAATAGAGATGATATTTTGTTGTTAAAACTAAAGAACAATTTTCAATTGTGTGTTTGCTATGATTAATTTCAAATAATGAATGGATTTAACCAAGTTTATTAGCCTACCATCATCATCACCACCATCGTCTGTGGTCTGTCGTCAGCCCTTAAACAATTTTTGTTATCACTCTTTCTTGAGAAGAACTGGATAGATCTCTCTCAGACTTCTTATGTAGGTTTCCCTTGATCCCTAGTTGTGTCTATGTCATTTTGGGATTGAGAAGAAAAAACGAATTGGCCAACAAGCGACCAGCTCTGATTTTGACTTTGAAAGTTTGTTATCACTATTTCTTGAGAGCTACTACAAAGGACTTTCTCAAATTTTATGTATAGGTTCCTTTTGGTTCCTAGTTGTGCCTATTTGAGTTTGGGGCTGATCAGAAACGCTAACTGGTCAACTGGCAGCCTTTTGGATTTTGCTCAGTACAGACTGTTATTCCTATTTCTGAAGAAGTACTAAATTGATATCTCTCAAATTTCATACCTATGTTCCCTTTGATCTTTCTTTGTGCCCATTTAATTTTGGGACTGATCAAAAGAAACAAAATGGGTTACAGGTGACCATTTTGGATTTGGCAGGTAAAGATTATCATCACTGTTTCTGCAAAGGAATGATCATAATGTCTTATAAAGAGCAGAAACAGAGAAGTGAAAAGAAGGGGGAAAAATCCAACTTTAAAAGGGCAAATAAAGATCAAACCATGGTGGGCACCAAGATCTCTCTGGGATCTCTTGTATTAGATTGAGAAATAAATGTATAGTAGAAATGTTCAGATCAATTTTGATGAAGTGATCAGACAATTTTAAGTTACAAGTTTTATGATTTGAAACAAGTGGACCAAAAAGAAAATTTTATATATATATTGAACTCGTTGAAGATATATGTTATTTTCTTTACTTCCATTACATTTCATTTGATATAATATTGTATCAGGAAATAAAGCAAATTAAGAAAAAAAATTGTCAGAAAGATCTATATCGAACTGATTTTTGAACTCAAGATTAATTCATACTTTTGTAGCTCTTTTGATGGAGATCCCTCAGAACTGGACCTGGCTGATGAGGTAGAGTATACTGTCACCAGAAAAAATGCCAAAGTGAGTGCAGAAAATATCCGTAAAGTAGCTAAGGGCACTATCCCTATGGAAGAGGTCTTGCGAGACCAGGGTGTGTTCAAGGGAAAGATTATTCGACCAATGAGAATTGTAAACCCAGAACAAGAAGAGTACAGTGGGCTGGTGCAAGTTGACCCTACAGAGGAGGGTGCTAAGTCAGTCTGTTATCCTTATGGTATCACAAGTCTGGCTGACAAGCGAGACTTCCTTCAAACTTCAGATGCTGTCAAGTTCCAGTTGGCTGTTGGTAAAAATGGTGTCACTCGGGCTGTCAACATTGCAGCTGTCCGCAAGTACATCCGTGCAAGGGTGGATTCTGTGAAGGGACAGGTAGGTATATTCTTTGACTGGGAATGTTAGTCACAAATGTTTTTGAGACTATTGATCATACACGGTTAGAGTGAATAAGCAATGAATATATATTTTAGCAAGCATGGTATCTGTCAATTGTCAAACAACTTCTTAATCATTTGGTGTTGGTTCATGATATTTGACTGGTAGGCGCCTGGGATGAAGCAAAAGAATTTGTTTGTATGAAATGACCATGACCTATATTAGGCATTAAATCATTACTCCAAGGATGATAATCCAAGGATGAAGCGTGAAAAATTTGAAAAAAAGAAATCCAAGGATGAAGCGTGAAAAATTTGAAAAAAGAAATTACCTTGATCCTTATTAATTGTCAATGTGATCAAAAAGCCTAGCATCATGTGAGGCCTGAGGTTTGTGATAAGAAATGAATCTGAGCCCATACTCAGGGCTACATGAGCCAAATTTGTTCAATACTCCAGAGGCTTCTTCTGCCCATAAAGTGATCCATCAGTTGTAGACAAAATTTATGTTTAGCTTGAATTATAAGTTTACAAAGTATGTGTAAATAGGTTGAGATCAGATCCATTTTGAACATCATTTATGGGAAATGTTAATGTATTGATAAAAAGCATTGAATACCAGTTGAGTAATGCAGGCTCATTGGGCATCATCTTGTATAGATACAGCAGTGCTTGCTGCTAGGTAATGCTTATTTGTTGATTTAAGGATTAGTCCAGTTTAATAACAAACAGTAAAACCCTTTATAGATAGTAACAAGAAAAATGTTGTCCATTATGTATTTAATTCAGGTTACTATTTAATAAAGTTGAAAAGTCTGAATCAGATGTCATAAATTGTGCTATAAGTTACAGATTTTTCAATCTTTACTTGTGTTGAATATAATATCCTGATGTGTTCTTTAGGTCTATTAACATGTGTTTTTTTTTTTTTTTTTTTTAGTTTGGCTTCATCAACTATGAAGCAGCAGAAGAAGGGAAGAAGCTTTTTTTCCACATGACAGAGGTTCATGATGGAGTGGACATTCAAGCTGGGGATGAGGTGGAATTTGTTGTTGTACAAAATCAACGCAACAAGAAATATTCAGCATGTAGTGTTAGGAAGATCACGTAAGTTTGTGAATGAAAATACACAGTTAAGTGAAGAATTGTCCTGTTTTGTATATCACTACCTTCAATCTTAATTCTGTCTTAAGATCACCTGGTCTGAAGTGACCTGATGTCATAAAGCATCCTTTGGGGAATGAGAACAAATTTTGTATAAATGGTGAATCTTGGGCCCCTGGGGCAGGAGGGGCAGGCCCAATAGGGGAAATAAAACAAATTCTTTAAAATCCTACTCTTCTTGTAGGAATGATTAGATTTTGTCAAAAATTGGTTTGAATCATCTTTTTGTGAAGTGGAATTAATTCTGTATAAATGGTTGATCTCAGGGAGGCCACCTAGAGCAGGGGCTCAATGGAAGAATGAAACAATTTAGATCCCCATCCCATAAACAGGTATAGCATTGCTATAGTTGTGATGTAAGGACTTGCCCTTTGGTGTGGCCTCACCCCTCTTGACTTAATTTCTGGGTGGTATCTTTGAAACAGTTGAAATCCTCACCCTATAACAACATATACATAGAATTACTTGGCATAAAGAAATACAAATTTGTTATGTAAGAATTGACCCTTGGGTGTGGTACATCATTATTTCTTGGTCATATATTTGATATAGTTGAGATACCAACCTGATAACCATATAACCTCTTACTAGGAATCAAAAGAGAAAGACAGTATAAAGATGTAAGAATTTACCCATCATAGACGTTAAGTGACTGAGCTTTGATTTGGAAATGTTTGAAATCATCATGAGGAAATAGATACAAGTACACGAAATGCTTTTCTTTTAGTTTTAATTAATCAGTTGCAGCAAACAAAACCAGGTGAGCAATACAGGCCCTATTGGTGGCTTGTTGATATCAGGTATCAGTTGAAATGATGCTCATAAAAGCAGCATGTGTACAGGACAGTAAATCAATTGTGTATCATTATAAGATCTGATTATTACATTCTACCGTTTACATTAGATGCTTGGTTTACTGTAGTCTTACTCCTTTCTCTAAAGTCACATTTGTAAAGAAATATTCAGTCTACAGTTTGTAGACATGGTAGACTGTAAGTAAAAGCATGTTTCCTGTTAATTTTGTAGGAACCGACAGCGTCCTGAACGTTTGGTGAGTAGGCTGAAGAGTATCAACGATGATATGGTTAGTCCTCGCATGGTTGCTCTTCGACAGCCAAAAGGTCCCGATGGAACAAAGGGATTTGCACCGCGCATTCCACGTCAGCCAACTGTGTAGCTTTGCATTAATCCTGCTTCATCACATCTATCGCCGCCTTTTTGAGAAAACAAAACAACAAATGCCATACAAAAAAAAAGACAATCTCCTCCCATCTCCTCTTTTCAGTTTATCATATTTCCATTAAAGAGGTTTGATTTCAGATGTCATTAACTATTACCCAAAGAAACCTCTGCATTTTCTTTTTTTTAGTGTTTTGATTTTAAGGAAAAGATCCTGGACTTTCCACTTCCTTCATAATTTCTGTATTAGGAATGTTACCAGGTAAATAAGAATTGTTGCAGTTTAGAGAACAAAGTGGTGTTTTCAGAATATACTAGTATGATTACATCTTTGGATGGCAAGCATTTAATTTGCATTTAGCTGTTTGGAAATTTGTCAATGTAAGCTAATTACAAACATGTATTGGACCAAAAACATTTTGTTGATTGTCAGATTTGCTCTAAAATATATTTACATGTTAAATAGTGAAAACACTGTTGATTATATTATTATTCTGAAGAAAATATAATTTATAGATTTATTTATTTAACAAGCATGAATTCTACAACCTGTTAACGTTCATTAATTACCATCATTATACTATTCTTGATAGCAGTGTGATATCTCCACAATTGTGGTGAAAGTGAGTGAATGTGTATGATCAAATGACCGTATGGATGGATATTTTTCTATTTTAAAACATCAGTGTAAGTCAAGCGAGAACAATATGTGCAACCCAGATGTATTTGGTCGATTTAGAGTGTTCAAAAATCTTTTTCTTGACGATGATATTGCAAGTTAAGATAAAGCAGCGTTATGAACAAAAAAATATAATTGAGAAAATTACTTACGGCATCTTGAAAGTGAGAAGTTTTATCAAACAACATTTCTGATATCATTATCATCTGTAATGGAAGGATGACCCAAGTTCAGTTTGTAGCCATTATTCATTAGCCTTCATTAAATTCATGCTAGGGATTATGCTTAAAAAAAAAAAAAAAAAGAAAGAAATGGTTGTCTTTTTTTCGTTATGAACTGAAAGGATTCATAATCCACATTTTCAACATTGGTATTTGTTGTAGTATGCTGTACCATGTTGTCAAAATGTATGATGTTCTGGGTCGTCATATGACTATGTTGGAATCATGCATGCTATAAAACAGGCTTCGATACTTGAGTAAAAGTTTGTTACAAGTATGTCAATGATGAGACATTTGATTGGTAACTTGATCACTGAACCACAGTGACTCAAATGTTAAGTTTGTCTCACTCACAGGAAGAAAGCAGTCTGAATGCATTGGTAACTTCATCACTGAAACCACAGTGACCCCAATGTAAAGTTTGTCTTACACAAAGACAACAGTCTGAATGCTTAGGTAATCCAGGAACACAAAAACAAAGGGAAAAAAATAAAAAAACAAATAAAAATGATGAATGAAGCACACTACTGGTCTTATCTTGTAATTGAAAAAGCTGGTTAGGAGACCTTGTCTACAGCAGTAACACAACACAAGATAACTGGTTAGGAGACCATGTCTATAGCAGTAACACCACACTAGATAACTGATTAGGAGACCTTGTCTATAGCAGTAACACCACACTAGATAACTGATTAGGAGACCTTGTCTACAGCAGTAACACCACACTAGATAACTGATTAGGAGACCTTGTCTATAGCAGTAACACCACACTAGATAACTGATTAGGAGACCTTGTCTATAGCAGTAACACCACACTAGATAATGGATTAGGAGACCTTGTCGTCAGCAGTAACACCACACTAGATAACTGATTAGGAGACCTTGTCTATAGCAGTAACACCACACTAGATAACTGATTAGGAGACCTTGTCTACAGCAGTAACATCACACTAGATAACTGATTAGGAGACCTTGTCTACAGCAGTAACAGCACACTAGACAACTGATTAGGAGACCTTGTCTATAGCAGTAACACCACACTAGATAACTGGTTAGGAGACCTTGTCTATAGCAGTAACACCACACTAGATAACTGATTAGGAGACCTTGTCTACAGCAGTAACACCACACTAGATAACTGATTAGGAGACCTTGTCTATAGCAGTAACATCACACTAGATAACTGATTAGGACACCTTGTCTATAGCAGTAACACCACACTAGATAACTGATTAGGACACCTTGTCTATAGCAGTAACACCACACTAGATAACTGATTAGGAGACCTTGTCTACAGCAGTAACATCACACTAGATAACTGATTAGGAGACCTTGTCTACAGCAGTAACACCACACTCGATTGGACTGATGCCATTGTTCATGAACTAAATACTCCAACATTTCAATGCATTCCTGTAATGGTAGTTAAGTCAGAGGCAGTGTTTTGTCTTGGAATGAGAATTTAAAGACATTCTCAGGAGTATTATATATATGATGTGAATTATGATTTCCATTTTTTAATATATACAGTAAAGTGTTATTTCACTTCACTATTTCAATAGTACTTGATGGATCTGTCTGATTCCATTTGTCCATAGTTGTGTTGAACTTTGAGACTGATTGAATAAAGAGATGGCAATTGCCAGCCATTTTAAACTTTCATCATTTTATTAGACAATATATTGGTACATTTAGGAGTTCGATGAATCTCCATTTTGTGCAAGGACAATAAAGCTGCATGGCATGGCAGATTTAAGAAAGACTGGAAGATAAGAAATTGGTGACAGGAAAATAGAAACTTCTTCTCTTCACACTTACCTATTTCTAATGATAAAGGACTTTATTTACAACACCTAGATATGATTGATTTTGAATGACCTTTGATCTGTTTATTTTAATGTTACTGGCTCACCAGTAGGTAATGAAGAACAGGTAAAAGAACTAGTGAGGATTGCACAGGACTCCTGGCATGGTAATCAAATTAATCCATCCTATATAGATGTCTAAATTGAAAATCAAAAGATAGATAACAGAAAATTTGCATTTGTCCATTTGTCTTCCATATCCTTAACAGCTGTCATAGGAAAGTGAGACACCAAAAATACAACATCAGGGAACATGGGAAAGTTAGGCATCCAAACCATGATTACGACACAAGATGAGACAAGGTGCCATAGCCAAAATTACAGGAAATGTACACCGAGACATCATAACCAAACTTACAACACCTCTAGGAAACATGGGACACTAAGACATCATAACAGCATAAGACCTATAGGTAATGTATTGCTCTGAAGATGGATATCTACCCAAAGGATGTCAGCGAAACCATTTGCACAAAGGTATCCTTCACCTAAGATTGTGTCGGACCAAACTGTTCCAGAATCCTGTCATTCCTACAGAAGAAGGATTTTGAAGAATTTGCTCCATTTTCCATATGGGGGGCCCCTCTCTTCCTATCCAAGGGGCAGACACCCACTGTTTATACAAAATCGATTTCCCATGCAAGAATGTTTCAGACTAAAATGAGACAGGGTTTAGACATTCCAAAAGCAGGATTTTAAAGAATTTGCTCAATTTCCCGCACTGAGCCCCACCTCTCCTTACTCAAGGGACTGCGATCCACTATTCACAAAAAATCAATTTCCTCTTTGCTTAAGCATGTCGTAGATGAAATTTGCACAGAACCCAGGCATTCCTACCAGAGAACTTGCTCTATTTTCCTTAGTTGGCAAACTCCTTGTCTTCACCCAAAAATGCTTTTACCAATGTTTGTCAAAATTTGTTAAGTCTTTCATGACTTGCAGTGTTTGAAGCAATCGTTGATGGATGATGGGTGCTAAATTATGGCATAAGCTCACCTTGGTCCATCAGACCAGGTGAGCTGAAAATTACAACACCTGGAAACATAGGACAATAACTCATCATATCTTAATTTACAACAGAAAAAATGGGACAATGAGACACTCTAACCAAGACAATTACAAGAATCTTGGCGTCTCCAAAACCGAAAAGACATGACCAAAGAAGACATTACAATCAAAAAGATATCAACATAAATGCAACTGAACTATAACTACACATATAAAGATGCAAAAGCCATTACTGGCCCCATCCACTATCAACGTTTTTGCTGTACAACCAGATACTAATATCGTGAAATGAAGGGAAATAACTTTAGGAAATCAGAATACATGAAACCAGGTTATTTGAAGGGTTCTGACTGTCTGCAAGTTTATTTTCTCTCTTGGTCACAACAGTTTGTAGGATAAGCCAATCCTGCTCAAACAGTTCTTGTTGGCCTACATAGTCATGAGATGAAGATATGAGGTTTGTTGTTTGACACTCCTTATGTGTAGCAGTTTGTTTTTTCTCAGGAAGCTGAGCTGACTTGGTTGTGTCATTAGGTAAGACACTTCACCTTATTTACTCTGGAACGATGTGATGGGTATCCCATATGTTGTTCAGTGAGGTAGCCATCAGCTTCAACAAAGAACCTTGCTTCGAAGTGCCCCTGGCAGCTCACAGGGTGATTTTATCAAACTAACAGAAAAGAAATAATTCAGGATATTTCCATCCCATGAAAAACAAAGAAAATATCAATGATGTATGAATGCCTAACTTCATTCAAAACAAAGCACAACACTTACTTCAAAACTATAAGTGGTGGTATTTGTTTTAACAATTTACTTACTTAGCGATAATTTCTGGTACAGGATTTTTGGTCCTCTACACCAGACTCCTTATTTGTTTGATCTGAATGTGTTTCTCTCACGCCACCTACGATGTTTATATTGCCTCTATAGTTGTCATAAAGGAGTTCTTGGTCTTCCCAATTCTTGTCCAGTCTGTTCTTGAATGCATTTATAGATGGTGCTGTCACAATATTTGTACCCTTTACAAAGACTGGCATTACAATAGCCTATATATCTTCAAAAACTAAAATCAAATGGATTTGTAAACATGACCTAATGAAGGAAAGATGTTAGCCCCAACGGTACTAAGATGCCTATATCTTGAAATATTAACATTCATGCAGGTCCTCTGTGCCTCTTTTCACTAGGAATACTTCTGACGTTTTCATTATTGTCCCCTAAAAGTCAAGAAAATGGATAGCTCAAAAGAGATTCCGAATGTAAAAACAAAAATGGCTTCCAAATCAGGTAACACGTGTGTGAGCACTGGAATCGGACGTTTTATATGTGAAATATAGCTATTATACTTCTTAGATATCTCTTTCTAATCTCGAACCATCGTAGGTATCTAAAGATGGAAATGGAACAACTACTTTGTGATATTGTTATCATTAATTACGATACAATCGCTGACGATGTCGTTCGTTTCAACAGTTGTCTGGTAATATCAGCTGTCCGAATAATTCTGATGTTCTATGTCGACTTTTTATATCTATCTGGAGTGGATGTCTTATTCTGATGTTCTGTCAACTTTTTATATCAGTTTGGAATCGATGTCTTGTTCTGATGTTCTGTCGACTTTTTATATCGGTCTGGAGACGATGTCTTATTCTGATGTTCTGTCAACTTTTTATATCAGTTTGGAGACGATGTCTTACTCTGATGTTCTGTCGACTTTTTATATCAGTTTGGAATCGATGTCTTGTTCTGATGTTCTGTCAACTTTTTATATCGATCTGGAGATGATGTCTTATTCTGATGTTCTCTTGACTTTTTATATCGATCTGAAGACAATGTCTTATTCTGATGTTCTGTCGACTTTTTGTATCAGTTTGGAGACGATGTCTTACTCTGATGTTCTGTCGACTTTTTATATCGATCTGGAGACAATGTCTTATTCTGATGTTCTGTCGACTTTTCATATCAGTCTGGAGATGATGTCTTATTCTGATGTTCTGTCGACTTTTCATATCAGTCTGGAGATGATGTCTTATTCTGATGTTCTGTCGACTTTTTATATCGATCTGAAGACAATGTCTTATTCTGATGTTCTGTCGACTTTTCATATCAGTCTGGAGATGATGTCTTATTCTGATGTTCTGTCGACTTTTCATATCAGTCTGGAGATGATGTCTTATTCTGATGTTCTGTCGATTGCTGATATCGATCTGGAGTCAATGTCCTATTCTGATGTTCTGTCGACTTTTTATACCAGTCTGGAGTTGATGTCTTATTCTGTTGTTGATATCGGTCTGGAGTCGATGACATTGACTCCAGACTGATTATAAAAAGTTGATTGAACAGAATAATTTGGGCTAATTAGAATATTGACCACAGGGACATCTATAAGTTTGATATGATAAATAAATCTAAAGATTTGATATATTCAACTGGAAGGAGTAAAGAAAAACACCCAGTCATCACTTAGGTTTGAACTAGTGACCCTTCGGTTTCTAGTTGGATATATACACTAAAACAGTTGTCAACTCGTGTCTGAGAGACTAGCTCTTTAATGGAGGGTCAGATGTTAACATCTTCAGTGGTCATGTTCATGGTAAGGACTCAGCGACCTTAATGGAAGGAAACTGAAGAGAATAGACTCTGGGGTTTTCCATGGAAACTCTGGTCCCCCTCCCTCCCAAGGAGTTAACAGGCAGGCTGATTCCCCAGAGATCTAACAATTTCCTGCATGTACCTATCATGATGCAAATTCTTCACTTCTTGTTCTGTAAAAGATTATACTACATCATTTCTATTCTAACACAAAACTTTCCAATTCAGTTGTTTCACAATGAATTTTGAGACCATCTTATAACTAAACTTATACATTTGTTTTTACAGAAGAATTGGATAATTTTGATGAGTTTGAAGAAGACTCTGACAATGAGGAAGAATGGGAAGAAGAAGAAGAGGACATCAAAGAGGAAGAAGATGTTCTATGTCTGTTTAGCCAGCAGAGATTTTCTACGGTGGATGAAATGTTCAAACACTGTCACTGTGTCTATGGATTTGACATGGCTTGGGCAGGACGTACCTGGAAGCTGGACAGTATACAATTTATCAAATTTGTCAACTATGTCAGGACAGAGGTAATTTGGATGAATCTCCTCTTTTTGTGATTCATTTGTGATAAATAAAAGGATGATAAAGATCTGAAAAAAAGAAAACAAAATACTTTTGTATGTAAAAAATTTGGTTTATCTCTTAAAAACGAAATTTTCTGAAAACAGCATCACTGAAAAGTGAAGCTTACACTGGGCAAGGAATTACCATAAAATCATTATTTCTATTTTTAACTATTTCACCAATTTCTGATTTGTTTGTATTTATAGAAACCAAGCAGTAAGGATTTACTGAAATATAAACCTGGTGATATACCTCCCTGGACATCTGATTCCTACATGAAGCCCCACGATCCTGATGATGTTCTGTTACAGTTTGGTAAGGAAAAATCATACCTTTTGGAGTATATATTTAACTATTTCTTTTATCTTAAAACAATAACAAGATTTGTATCTGGGTTATGGTAGAGTCAATAAGACTAGATGTATCATTCCCATGGAAATATCAGGCATTACAGTATTTCAAATATAGAATCAATGCAGTGACATCTTTCTGATTAGACTTTTAATTGTTGATATTTGGAAGTAAAATCTTCCTATTGAAGCTTCGTTTTAAGTAAAATTGGTAAATTACATTCTTGTTCATAATTTCTGAAAACCTTATCTTTCTCTTTTTCCAGATATAGAAGATATGCTAGAAAATAGTCCACTGACAAATTCCATTAGTACTACACAAAATGGAAGTGGAGGAGAGACCAACATGACTTTGTCAATGTCAGAGTACCATGAACTTTGTCAGAGGTTAAAGGTTGCTGAGGAAAGGTCAGCAAAGGCAGAAGAACAGATACATGAATTAATGCAAAATATGGAGAAAATGAGGTGAGAGTTACCATACTAGCAAAACATATTTGGTTAAGGTCACCTCAATCATCTCTTTAGAATTTTCATTTAAGCCTCAGGTTTTTTTTTGTTTTTTTTTTTCTATATAAAGAAAATAATTCAAATATAATTCTTTAAAAAGGTTATCCTTTAAAAGGATGGAGTTCTGTAAGAAAAACTGCTGTATCAGCTCCATTTCAAGATAATTTTTTATTAGATTGTTTTAATGATTTTGAAATGTTTCCAGGATAGTAACCAAGGATATTGTAATGACACAATCACAAGAGCCAATCAAACAACAGAGTGTTATAGAGACCCTGACAGAGGACGAGGACGATGCCTACTTTGGTTCATATGCACATTTTAGTATACATGAAGAAATGTTAAAGGTAAGTAGTCATTAAGTCGGAGTTAAGAGATCATGTTAGTAAAGGTAAGTGATCAAGTGATCAGTCGTCAAAGGTAAGTGATTGTTAAAGGTAAGTGATCAGTAATTAAAGGTAAGTGATCACATCATTAAAGGTAAGTGATCAAGTGATCAGTTGTCAAAGGTTAAAGGTAAGTGATCAAGTGATCAGTCGTCAAAGGTAAGTGATTATTAAAGGTAAGTGATCAGTAATTAAAGGTAAGTGATCAAGTGATCAGTCGTCAAAGGTAAGTGATTGTTAAAGGTAAGTGATCACATCATTATAAGTGATCAGTCATCAAAGGTAAGTGATCAGTCATTATAAGTGATCACATCATTAAAGGTAAGTGATCAAGTGATCAGTCGTCAAAGGTTAAAGGTAAGTGATCAGTCGTCAAAGGTAAGTGATTATTAAAGGTAAGTGATCAGTAATTAAAGGTAAGTGATCAAGTGATCAGTCGTCAAAGGTAAATGATTGTTAAAGGTAAGTGATCACATCATTATAAGTGATCAGTCATCAAAGGTAAGTGATCAGTCATTAAAGGTAAGTGATCAGTCATTAAAGGTAAGTGATCACATCATTAAAGATAAGCGATCATATCATTAAATGTAAGTGATTAAGTCATTAAAGGTGAGTGATCAAAATCAATAAAGGTAAGTGATTTAGTGATTCAAAGTAAGTGATTAAGTCATTGATTGATTCTGTTTAAGACATGTAATATCTTAAATTAGTGTGATAGAATAGCACAGTGATTTATAATCATAAGAAATCAACTTTATTCGACTAAAATGTTCCTTTTACTGATAAGGATTGGAATAAGATAAAATTATACATTATTTCAGGATAAGGTACGAACGGAGAGTTACAGAGATTTCATGTACCAGAACACTGACTTGTTTAGAGACAAAATAGTATTAGATGTTGGTTGTGGTACCGGTATACTTTCCATGTTTGCTGCGAGGTCTGGGGCCAGACAAGTGATCAGTGTGGACCAATCAGATGTAGTCTACCAGGCCATGGACATCGTAAGGTATGTAGCATATTGCTGGCTTTTACTATTACTTATTTCATGTAATAAATAAGGATGTCTTTATGAAAATGTTATTTGCTCCATTTTTCTCCATATACTGATGGCTTCAGTAGAGTTGGGGCCCCAAGTTGTGTCAGCTGGTGCAACATGAAATGATTATTGCAATGCCAATATCCCTATTAGTAAACAATACATACAATCTCACAACATCTTCAAATGATTTGAATGAAAGTGAAAACAGAATAGATAGAGTGCAAACTTTCACTTATCAGAATTTTGGGGGTGGGGGGGTCATGATTTTGTGTTCTAACTACCTGCATAGTCAAACTGACTGGAAGTTTACCATAATTAATATGTTTTGGAAAAAAATAGCACTTCATGTGTATAGTTGTGGTATTTTCATAATCCTTTACACTTATAAACGAATATTGCTCAAAGAACATTTCACAGGAATTGAAAACTCATGGTTCTACCAAACTCAAACTCACTGTATAGCCAAAATCTCATGGGATGGAAGGAAGATGGGGTATTATCGTGGTTATATTGAAACTTTCACCGTAAAACAACGACCAGAAAATGACTTTAACAATGGGTTGACAAAGAGTGACCAGCTTTGTGTAAATGCTGTAGGCCTATAATGAAATTGATGGAGCAGACTCATCAGTAGTGTTATCTTATCCCCTTGGGACACTTTTTCTACCTGTGGTATGCTTGATTAGCTTCAATTTACAGATAACACTGATGGTCAGATTTAAAATTGTATATGTTAACAATACTTTTACATGTTCTTAACAGAGAGAACAATTTGGAGGATCGTGTTACAGTGATTAAAGGTCGTATAGAGGACGTGGATTTACCTGTGGATAAAGTTGACATTATCATCTCAGAGTGGATGGGTTACTTCCTGTTGTTCGAGTCCATGTTGGATTCTGTGCTGTATGCTAGAGATAAATACTTGGCACCAGGAGGAGTAGGTCAGCACTCTCTATTGTGTATTTCACTAAAAACTAAAAAAAATAAATTGTGTCCCTGTTCAGGTTTTTTACTTATTCTAATTTACATTATTAATCAAATAATATTTTAATCTTATACAATTTTTTCTTGAGCACACAATCATTAGCTGTTGGGCTATACAAATCCTCCCCCATCCAAAACCAATTCTTCTAAATGGCTATTTCTTGAGAAATGCAGAATGGATCCTTTCATATGAATGTTCCCTTTGTCTTCAAGTTGTACCCATTTAATTTTTGGACTGATCAGAAAACAAAATGAATGACATATAGCTATATTGGATTTTGACAATGAAAGTTTGTTATCACTATTTCTTGAGAAGTACAGTATGGATAATATATTTTTGGCCCTGATGACCTTTTATGTGTTGACGGACCGTTAAGACTGTAATGATAATAAATCTTAGATTTTATACATAGATTTCCGTTGGTCCCTAGTTGTGCCTGTCTGATTTTTGACCAATCAGAAAAACAAAATAACTTATTTGAGATCTTCTCAGAACATGTTTTAGAGGTAAGCTTATCTGAGATATCCAGTTAACTGATTTTTATGGCGACCTAATTTGAGATCTTCTGTAAACAGGATTTAGAGGATAACTAATTTCAGTGTTTTTTGAGGTCTAAATTTTGACCGCTTATTGCAGTTAAACTATGGAGGGTTTCATTTATCAGTGTGCAAAGCTGTTTGTATTTCATATTGTACTAAGATTTAGTGCTCAAAAACATTTATCTCCAGAACATGTATTTTATAATTATCACAACTTATTACATGAAAATTTCTTCAATTAGGAAACCAAATTAGTCACTAAATCGCTCCCCTTTTCTCCTGATAGTTCACCCAGATAGATGTAACATCAGCCTTGTGGCATCCTGTGACCCTGATCTCCACAGTAAGCATGTCACTTTCTGGGACGATGTGTATGGGTACAAGATGACTTGTATGAAGTCAGAGGTTGTCAAGGAAGCCAGCGTTGAGGTTGTGAAGCCAGAGAAAATCATCACAGATGCAGTCATTGTTAAGGTAAATAAATGATATCACACTCAAACACACTTCTACAATAATTGTAGTTATAAGACAGCTAAATAAATGTTTGATAGAGGGATAACCAAGTATGTTCATACGTTATGATGACTTTGTATCTTTATGAACTGTATATCAGACCAGACAACACTTTGACTTTACTGTAAGCTGACTTTCTTCTGTGTCTACTTACTATTGTGGTATCCTCATAATGTGTTCACTGGCCTCATTCCTTGTCCTTTGTTTTACCTGATGTTACCTGTAACATTTATCTAATAGAAGATTGATGTATGTACCTGATTTTATCTGTAATGTGATCTACAGAAGATTGATGTATGTACCTGATGTTACCTGTATTCTGATTTAACAGGAGATTGATGTATGTACCTGATGTTACCTGTATTCTGATTTAACAGGAGATTGATGTATGTACCTGATGTTACCTGTATTCTGATTTAACAGGAGATTGATGTATGTACCTGATTTTATCAGTAATGTGATCTACAGAGGATTGATGTATGTACCTGATTTTATCTGTAATGTGATCTACAGAAGATTGATGTATGTACCTGATTTTATCTGTAATGTGATCTACAGGAGATTGATGTGTGTACCTGATGTAACCTATATTCTGATTTAACAGGAGATTGATATATGTACCTGATGTTACCTGTATTCTGATTTAACAGGAGATTGATGTATGTACCTGATGTTACCTGTATTCTGATTTAACAGGAGATTGATGTATGTTCCTGATGTTACCTGTATTCTGATTTAACAGGAGATTGATGTATGTTCCTGATGTTACCTGTATTCTGATTTAACAGGAGATTGATGTATGTTCCTGATGTTACCTGTATTCTGATTTAACAGAAGATTGATGTATGTACCTGATTTTATCTGTAATGTGATCTACAGAAGATTGATGTATGTACCTGATTTTATCTGTAATGTGATATACAGGAGATTGATGTGTGTACCTGATGTAACCTATATTCTGATTTAACAGGAGATTGATGTATGTACCTGATGTTACCTGTATCCTGATTTAACAGGAGATTGATGTATGTACCTGATGTTACCTGTATTCTGATTTAACAGGAGATTGATATATGTACCTGATGTTACCTGTATTCTGATTTAACAGGAGATTGATATTACCTGTATCTTATTTAACAGGAGATTGATGTGTGTACCTGTAGACTGGAAGACCTACAATTTTCCAAGCACTTTTCTCTAACAGCTAAGGAGGATGGCCAGATCTGCGCCCTTGTCAGTTACTTCGACATGTTCTTTGATAAAGACTGCACCTCTAAGGTAAAAAAAAAGTTAGATTGCTATACAAGGGAGCACTTCCTTTTAAAAGATTGTGTGTTCTCATCCAACCATCATCAGATGGATAGCTGTCCAAATCACCCTTTGTCCATGGTCCATTGTTTACCTAATCATTCTGAAACACTTCTTGTTGTCATTACGTCTTGAGAAGTACTGTCAACAGATCGGGTCTTCATTGAATTTAAAATATAGACACTATTTGGTCCTTTAACTAGAAGCATTGGAAAGGTCTTTCTCAGATTTAATATGAAAGTATTTCTCGTTACAACAATATTATTACCTCATGACTCATTCACGACAAAGAATTACAATGTAAGTGGAAAGTCTGAGTTGTTGTCACAGTTATGATTATGGTAGTGGTAACTTGTCTTCTAATATAACACTTCTGTTTTCTAGGTTAGTTTTTCCACTGGTCCAGCACATACAGCAACACACTGGCGACAGACAGTGTTTCTTATAGAGCAGCCTTTCAGTGTAGTTCAAGGTAAGCACATCAGTAGATATCAAATTGGGGAGTAGATACACCAAGTTACATAGCAAGTAGATATCTAATTGGGGAGTAGATACACCAAGTTACATAGCAAGTAGATATCTAATTGGGGAGTAGATACACCAAGTTACATAGCAAGTAGATATCTAATTGGGGAGTAGATACACCAAGTTACATAGCAAGTAGATATCTAATTGGGGAGTAGATACACCAAGTTACATAGCAAGTAGATATCTAATTGGGGAGTAGATACACCAAGTTACATAGCAAGTAGATATCTAATTGGGGAGTAGATATACCAAGTTACATAGCAAGTAGATATCTAATTGGGGAGTAGATACACCAAGTTACATAGCAAGTAGATATCTAATTGGGGAGTAGATACACCAAGTTACATAGCAAGTAGATATCTAATTGGGGAGTAGATACACCAAGTTACATAGCAAGTAGATATCTAATTGGGGAGTAGATACACCAAGTTACATAGCAAGTAGATATAAAATCTTGTAATGTATTTCATTGATTTTGGCACAGTCATGTATTTGTAGACTTGGCCAAATTAGCGAGTCTAAGCCTAGACCAAGACACATTGAATTCTACAATATTCTCATCTTTTAATATACAAAGAAGATCCAAGTCTTCCACAATGTTACTCCTACACTTCCAATATAGAAGTGAATAGACAACTGTGTTGGAGGAGTATACTTATATTTGAGTGTCTGTCTTTCTGTTTGTAGATGGAAATTTCTCCTGAATTTCATAAAACTTTGTATTTATGATCTTAAGAGTTATAACCAAACTTGAGATTTTAGATAAAACTCTGTTTATTTGCTGTTCATTCCTTTAAGTGAACTTATGATTGTCAGTATGTCACAAGACTTAATTAAATCATTATTGTAATATATAAAAAAAAACATCTTGTTTCAGGTGAAGTGGTACAAGGGAAGATAAATTGTAAGAAAAGTAGGAAGGACCCTCGTTCTTTGGTGATATCATTGACCATTAAAGACTTCACACAGGTGTATTTAATGGACTAATTACTTGTGTACCAAAAGACCAGAGTGTACCTACTTATAATCTCCAGGGATGACTAGTGTACCAAAAGACCAGAGTGTACCTACTTATAATCTTCAAGCATGACTTGTGTACCAAAAGACCAGAGTGTACCTACTTACATCTGCAGGGATGACTTGTGTACCAAAAGACCAGAGTGTACCTACTTATAATCTCCAGGGATGACTTATGTACCAATAGACCAGAGTGTACCTACTTATAATCTTCAAGCATGACTTGTGTACCAAAAGACCAGAGTGTACCTACTTATAATCTTCAGGGATGACTTATGTACCAAAAGACCAGAGTGTACCTATTTACATCTCCAGGGATGAATTGTGTACCAAAAGACCAGAGTGTACCTACTTATAATCTCCAGGGATGACTAGTGTACCAATAGACCAGAGTGTACCTATTTACATCTCCAGGGATGAATTGTGTACCAAAAGACCAGAGTGTACCTACTTATAATCTCCAGGGATGACTTATGTACCAATAGACCAGCGTGTACCTACTTATAATCTCTAGGAATGACTTGTGTACCAGAAGACCAGAGTGTACCTACTTATAATCTCCAGGGATGACTTATGTACCAATAGACCAGCATGTACCTACTTATAATCTCTAGGAATGACTTGTGTACCAAAAGACCAGAGTGAACCTACTTATAATCTCCAGGGATGACTTATGTACCAATAGACCAGCGTGTACCTACTTATAATCTCTAGGAATGACTTGTGTACCAAAAGACCAGAGTGTACCTACTTATAATCTCCAGGGATGACTAGTGTACCAACAGACCAGAGTGTACCTACTTACATCTCCAGGGAGGACTAGTGTACCTATAGACCAGGGTGTACCTTAATACAACTCCAGGGATTACTTATGTACCAATAGACCACAGTGTACCACAGGGGATGATCATCCATGTCTTCATCACATACTTATTGCAGTATTATATTTCTCAGGAAGAAGATTTCAACTTTTGCAGTAGTAAAATCAACATCAGAGGTCTAGGTACTGGCGATTCAACTGTAGTTATCTCCCTTCACTTCGATTCATAACTTGTAAAGTTCTGATTGGGGCGGAGACCTTACAGATTATCACATCGACTCAGGGGTCAAGTTGTAGAGTTGCATTTCAGCAACATTTCATTTTTTTCACTTTTTTCCTGTGGTTAAGTCTTCATCATACATGTTTATTTCCCTAATTGAATTGTGCATTTCTTCATAGCTGGTCTATGATGTGTTGGTGCTTGTTTTGTTGTGTTGCATTTTTAATTTAATAGCTGAATAAAAAATTCTTCAATTACAATAGATCAGGAGCTTTTGATTTTGCAATAGACTTCAATGAGCAATACCTAAACTGAGAAACTCCAAAGATTGAAAGCTGACTGTAGAAATAGGACAAATAATTGGGACATCTTCATTCTGTAATTCTCTCATTATAGTTGCATGTCTTACATGTACAGCTAAAAAACCTTTTGATGATACTGACATTGATTTGTAAATACAACATCTCGAGCATCAATTGAGAAAGACTGGATTATACTGATACAGTACTTGACAGGCTTGCGTCAAGGTGTGTCAGAAAACAAAATAAGATCACTAGGTGTGCTTTTTTTGGTTGAACAGAATTCAGCCAAGGCCTAAGTGAATTAACTTCACACAGCCCCTACATCTTACTTTTGTATTGGGTAAGTTAGATTGCTATGACAGTATCCCAATGGAGGTTTGTTCTCACTGCTTGGTTGGTTTTGTTGATTTAATTTCAATGTTGATCTTTCGACACAGGTAGCACAAATGATGCTCGATGTATAAGATATAAAAGACAACAAAAGAACTTTTGTCATTTTAATTTTTTTACTTTTGAGTATTTAGTTGTTTGTATACAAAGATTAACAGCAGTGCAAAACTAATGTATGCGACAGGAATCAAACTCTCTTGAGCATGCACCAAGGGGAGACCACTCTTTTGTTGTGATATTTTTACGTCAGTCTTATTAAGCAGAAAACCATACTTAATTTACAAAGAAAAGTTTTTTAAATTAAAAAAAATTCAGTAATATCTTTGAAATTTAAGACATACTTTTTCATTTTGACTAAATTCTTGTCTTATTTATTATTTTGTTGTATCTAAGACATTTCCAATCAGTTCAATTTCCTGCACATAAATTTAACCATCAATGCATACTCGATACTTCAGGGGCTATGATCATATATCCTCTATACAGAGAGTGATAGTGAGTGCAACCCCCTTGGAGTATCATGGATGTCATCAATTTACATTGTAGTGTTACTTATAAAAATTAAGAGATCAAATGCTTCTGTTATCAATATGTACTGTGTATATTGTCAAATTGAGTAATACTTCTACACAAGGATTGTACTGATGATATCAACTTCTCCAGACAATCTGCTGAGAACCATGAGGCAGACATAGTAATCACCACTGTTATATTGATGGGTGATGAAGAATAGGATCGGACTATCAGAATTATCCTTACAGAAATATTTTGTAGAACCATTTCATGCTTTCAAATTTTTTGAGGAAAATGCTGTACAATGTAAGTAAAGGGAAAATAAATGATTTCTAGCGAAATGTAATTTGATTTTTTGATTTGAGAAAGTTAAACAGATACAAATTATTTTCCACTTAATTATTTACACATGTTTAATCTTCCAACAGAAGACTAGTCATACTTGACCACCAGAACATCTTATTACTATCAACACATGTAATGAATTAACATTCCAGTCCTCATTCCAAGGTATTTAACAGGCTTTGAACACCCCTTTACTCATACAGGACATGGAACACTCCCAATACCAAGGTGTTTTACAGGACTATCACACCCCTGTACTCTTACAGAAAATAGAACATTCCCAATACCAAGGTGTTTTACAGGACTATCACACCCCTGTACTCTTACAGAAAATAGAACATTCCCAATACCAAGGTGTTTTACAGGACTATCACACCCCTGTACCAACACCTGGAATGCCCTGGTACTCAAGTGCTTCACAGGATTTTGTTTTTGTAATTCCTGGTATCAAGGTACTTTAAAAGAATATGGAAAAAAATGTTTTTGTAACTACTGAAACACTTTCTTATTTCACCAGGTTGATTTAAAACAAGGTGTTAAAAGACCTAACAATTTTCTGCACTATTTAGAGAGAAAGAAAGAAATACCAGGATATATCAAATAAATAAGTTTTTAGTAGAAAATGTATAAATTCTGTACAATTATATACTAGGTACAATTTATACACAAAATTTCAATAGAAAAAAAGTAACAATATACGCATACATAATACATGGCCACTTTCAAACAAACACATTTAAACTCTGAATGAAACAACAGAACAATCTATGGATGGCATATGAAGATGGGTTTTTTAATGTACAAAAACATGAGAACTATATGAGCAATATACTTTATATTAAACTTACTGGAATGTTTACCATGAAATATGTTTAAAAATCAACAGCAACTATATAGAATATATTATTTTTAAAAAAAGATTAACAAATATGCAAAATGGTAACGTGCAAATACTCACGACTTCATATTTTATGTTTACTATTTTTATATAGTTTGGGTACTTTATCTCTCCACAGTAAATATCACTTGAAGAAACTGCAAATATATATATGTATACACATATATATATAAACAGAAAATAAGCAAATACCATATTTATGTAATAAAGCTATTCAAAAATATCTAAACATGATAGAATTTCAGTCTTTTTATGTTGTATCTATGGATTGTTATTTTTGTAATTCTAGGCAGTTTCTGTGATGTGAGAGAGACCTAGGGAAAGCTTATAATCATCAAACTTAAAATATCTTCACGAAAGAATTAGGAGACTAACATCAAACTGCACATCATTTACTTTGTTAGAGACCATAAGAAAGCAACCCTTTATTGCATAGATACCACTACGTTAGTAAAATATATATTTTTAATGTGTAAATACTTTTTATGTATTGAGAACAGGATAAGGGGATACACAAGGATCATCACACAGCTTACTGGTCAAGTCGGGGCCACAGTCAGGGGCTCAAGGTGGTAACCTGAATATTGCATTAACTAAATATTGATACACAAGTATAAATATAAGGTCAACATAATTAAGGAGGTTTTCCTTGTTAGGATGATGTCATTATTAGTTAGAAAATTCTGGTCAAATAGAGCTGCTAGCTTAGCTTGTTAAACACACAGCTAATGGAGCTTTTGTAATTTTAATTACCCTGTTTTGCAATGACTATGGATGCGATATTCTTAGCCTTCATGTTAAATCACAAAATTACAACATAGATTGATAGAACAATTTCTATGTATGGAAGTCACTCAATACAAATAGCATATCAACTTTTCTCACACCATAAGTCTGGGATTTCTACCAATGGAGGCAAATCCTTTAAAAACTACCACTCCACTGAAAGGTTACCCTGTGGCAAAAATGACAAAAACTGATGCTTCAAAGTGTGAAAAGCTAAATAATAATTCTATGGCTTTCCTACGGTCTGCGATAGACTTCCAAATACTTAGCCAATTCTCTTTGAAACACACTGCCCAATTATCCAGACAATGTTTTGTCCAATTATCCTACCACTGTTCCACTGTCCCATTAACCAGAGAGTGCTCCCAGGAACACACTGTCCCAGTACCACACAACACTCCCAGAGACACACTGTCAATCTATCTCACTAGTGTCCTTGAGAACACACTGTCCCAGTACCACACAACACTCCCAGAGACACACTGTCAATCTATCTCACTAGTGTCCTTGAGAACACACTGCCCCAGTACCACACAACAATCCCAGAGACACACTGTCAATCTATCTCACTAGTGTCCTTGGGGACTCCCTGCCCCAGTACCACACAACACTCCCAGGGTCACACTGTCAATCTATCTCACTAGTGTCCTTGGGGACTCCCTGCCCCAGTACCACACAACACTCCCAGGAACACACTGTCAATCTATCTCACTAGTGTCCTTGGGGACTCCCTGCCCCAGTACCACACAACAATCCCAGGAACACACTGTCAATCTATCTCACTAGTGTCCTTGAGAACACACTGCCCCAGTACCACACAACACTCCCAGAGACACACTGTCAATCTATCTCACTAGTGTCCTTGGGGACTCCCTGCCCCAGTACCACACAACAATCCCAGAGACACACTGTCAATCTATCTCACTAGTGTCCTTGAGAACACACTGCCCCAGTACCACACAACAATCCCAGAGACACACTGTCAATCTATCTCACTAGTGTCCTTGAGAACACACTGCCCCAGTACCACACAACAATCCCAGAGACACACTGTCAATCTATCTCACTAGTGTCCTTGAGAACACACTGCCCCAGTACCACACAACAATCCCAGAGACACACTGTCAATGAGAACTATCTCACTAGTGTCCTTGAGAACACACTGCCCCAGTACCACACACACTCCCAGTACCACACAACAATCCCAGAGACACACTGTCAATCTATCTCACTAGTGTCCTTGAGAACACACTGCCCCAGTACCACACAACAATCCCAGAGACACACTGTCAATCTATCTCACTAGTGTCCTTGAGAACACACTGCCCCAGTACCACACAACAATCCCAGAGACACACTGTCAATCTATCTCACTAGTGTCCTTGAGAACACACTGCCCCAGTACCACACAACAATCCCAGAGACACACTGTCAATCTATCTCACTAGTGTCCTTGAGAACACACTGCCCCAGTACCACACAACAATCCTAGAGACACACTGTCAATCTATCTCACTAGTGTGAACACACTGCCCCAGTACCACACAACAATCCCAGAGACACACACTATCTCACTAGTGTCCTTGAGAACACACTGCCCCAGTACCACACAACAATCCCAGAGACACACTGTCAATCTATCTCACTAGTGTCCTTGAGAACACACTGCCCCAGTACCACACAACACTCCCAGAAACACACTGTCAATCTAACTAACTACAGAACTAAGGGAAACACTCACCCAGTACAAGACAACAATCCCAGGAACACACTGTCAATCTATCTCACTACTTGAGAACACCTGCCCCAGTACCACACAACAATCCTAGAGACACACTGTCAATCTATCTCACTAGTGTCCTTGAGAACACACTGCCCCAGTACCACACAACAATCCCAGAGACACACTGTCAATCTATCTCACTAGTGTCCTTGAGAACACACTGCCCCAGTACCACACAACAATCCCAGAGACACACTGTCAATCTATCTCACTAGTGTCCTTGAGAACACACTGCCCCAGTACCACACAACAATCCCAGAGACACACTGTCAATCTATCTCACTAGTGTCCTTGAGAACACACTGCCCCAGTACCACACAACAATCCCAGAGACACACTGTCAATCTATCTCACTAGTGTCCTTGAGAACACACTGCCCCAGTACCACACAACAATCCCAGAGACACACTGTCAATCTATCTCACTAGTGTCCTTGAGAACACACTGCCCCAGTACCACACAACAATCCCAGAGACACACTGTCAATCTATCTCACTAGTGTCCTTGAGAACACACTGCCCCAGTACCACACAACAATCCCAGAGACACACTGTCAATCTATCTCACTAGTGTCCTTGAGAACACACTGCCCCAGTACCACACAACAATCCCAGAGACACACTGTCAATCTATCTCACTAGTGTCCTTGAGAACACACTGCCCCAGTACCACACAACACTCCCAGGAACACACTGTCAATCTATCTCACTAGTGTCCTTGAGAACACACTGCCCCAGTACCACACAACAATCCCAGAGACATACTGTCAATCTATCTCACTAGTGTCCTTGAGTACACACTGCCCCAGTACCAGACAACACTCCCAGGATCACACTGTCAATCTATCTCACTAGTGTCCTTGAGAACACACTGCCCCAGTACCAGACAACACTCCCAGGATCACACTGTCAATCTATCTCACTAGTGTCCTTGAGAACACACTGCCCCAGTACCACACAACACTCCCAGGAACACACTGTCAATCTATCTCACTAGTGTCCTTGAGAACACACTGCCCCAGTACCAGACAACACTCCCAGGAACACACTGTCAATCTATCTCACTAGTGTCCTTGAGAACACACTGCCCCAGTACCACACAACAATCCCAGAGACACACTGTCAATCTATCTCACTAGTGTCCTTGAGAACACACTGCCCCAGTACCACACAACAATCCCAGAGACACACTGTCAATCTATCTCACTAGTGTCCTTGAGAACACACTGCCCCAGTACCACACAACAATCCCAGAGACATACTGTCAATCTATCTCACTAGTGTCCTTGAGAACACACTGCCCCAGTACCACACAACAATCCCAGAGACATACTGTCAATCTATCTCACTAGTGTCCTTGAGAACACACTACCCCAGTACCACACAACAATCCCAGAGACACACTGTCAATCTATCTCACTAGTAGTGTCCTTGAGAACACACTGCCCCAGTACCAGACAACACTCCCAGGAACACACTGTCAATCTATCTCACTAGTGTCCTTGAGAACACAATGCCCCAGTACCAGACAGCACTCCCAGGAACACACTGTCAATCTATCTCACCACCCTTCTTGAGAACACACTGTCCCAGTACCAGACAACACTCCCAGGAACACACTGTCAATCTATCTCACCACCCTTCTTGAGAACACACTGCCCCAGTATTAGACAATAATCACTCCATATTAATCCAACCATTGTGAATGGAGGACAAACTTTCCCGTTATCCACACAGTGCTCCCACAGACACACTGTCAATTTATTCCACCAGTGTTCTTGGGGGACAAACTTTCCCGTTATCCACACAGTGCTCCCACAGACACACTGTCAATTTATTCCACCAGTGTTCTTGGGGACACAGTGCCCCATTATCTAGTTGTCTAATTACTAACCCTGACCCTGTAGTCTGTACACTGTAAAGTTTTACTGTGTATGAAGACAGAGGTCTAGGTAATTAAGCGTTGAATAAATATTCTCCCCACTCAGCTTCCTAATTATGCAAATTGTAAACAAGTGTAATGATATATATGTAAACTTGAGATTCCACATTTACAAGTAAACTTTAGCTAAGCACCATAAAATATCAAATGCAGCATAGGAGGAAGTTTTCTGTTTACACAAGTTTGATATATGTTATTTATCTCTGATATATTATCATGGTCAATACAATCTACAATACAATTACAGCATCAACACCACAATGCTTTTGTTATATCACTTCAGTCACAGGCATAACTTCATTCTCATCCATGATGAGTTCCGAGACACAAAATATCTTTTTTTTTCTTTTTATTGTGATGAGTAAGTTAGATTTTTAGGAAATGATTATGAGATGATTTGGGTTAAATTAAAATGCAATTATATTCAAGCACTTAAACAAAAATATATAAGTAAGGTAATTAGTTGAAGTTGCCATGTACTTAGTGTCAGATATACCTAGGGGAGATAACTCATTCTTACCACATGGTATAATTATAGATTTTCATTTCAAAAGTATGATAGGGGCCATTGTTCTTTTCTTTAACTGCACCTTCTTATAGATTTCTTACAATATCATTTGGAGAAGATTATTGCAAGATGTTGTCTCAGTTATTCAGAAATTATCTGTAAAATACTGAAAAGACTTTAGTATTCAATCCCCATTTCAATATAAAAGTTAATCTTATTACTGGGAAATTATAATCTATAACACACAGAAGGAAAAAGCTGTATCTTATCATAAATATTTCATACACATTTTCAGACAAAGCTTTCAACCATTTCTTGTAAAACCTAGACCAAGATAAGGGTATCATTTCCAATGAACTATGTGTTAGGATCCTTCAGCAGTGGAACGATCAGTAAAACGTCAGATCAAAATGACTCCTGACCAATCACTTTCATGTATCATCCTTCCCAGGAAGACAAACCAGGAATCTGTCACTCTATAATCCTGAGTGATCTTACTCAGATGAATGATGATTTCACAAAACTCGCTCTTTGAAGGATATTTGATTTTAATTGTTATCTAGGATGGACTTCTATCCAACTTTAAATTAGATTATCAAGAAATATTATACCTTAGATACCCTGATTTGGTTTCGTAACTTTTGAAAAAGAAATGGAATATTATATGTATACAGCATAGATACCCTGATAGCCCTCTTCTAATGTGTGATCAGTGATAGCTTTATGTTAAAATAAAGATCAAGTCCTTCTAAATCAGTTCGTACTGACAAAGAATGATGTGATTTATTTAGATGACAATAAGATTTGGTCATGTAAAATTGTAAATTATTAATAATGAAATTATACCATACACCTTAATATTGCACAGTCACAAACATAATATAGAAATCCGACCCAATGTCGTACAGATGTACAGTAGCAGTGGACAGCCCAGTTTGTGTACATGTATTGCACTAGTGTATGATAAACAAAAACATCACACAAAAATAATATCAGCTAAGCCTTTATCACATACTAAATCTATCCTGCAATCAGCAAGGTGGAATGATGAGGGTGGGGATGGGGGGGGGGGGGGTCGGATAACATGTAGTTCTAACTTTAAGAGATGGGGGTGGGGGTGGGAGGGTATATCGCATCACATTGGCATTAATACTTATTACTAGACCTACTGCCTAGTAAGTATAATACACTGATCACATTGATTTTGTCACATAGAATTAGTTACTAATATTTGCAAATTTAATTGGTAAATAAACTACATTTTTATCTCCCAGAGATGCTTCCCTTAATTTCAGTACAGTAATAAGCTTGACAGCTGAGAATTTACAAACTGATTCACGAGACAGAAATGGGCCTGGATGTAGTAGGGAAAAACATAAGAAATAAACTCATAAACTTTAAAACATGTAAAAGTAACCTAGAATCGAGTCTTGACACTCGTTATACACACAGCACAGACAAAGACAAATTTAGAGTTCGGATTGTAATATTGAGATCAGTTTTTCATCATTCCATGAGATGAATTAAGTTTATGTGCATCAGATGACATTTACAGCATGTATATCATAAAAAAATTATTTTAAACGTATGAAATGAAATGAATTAATTATTTATCACATATTATTTACCTTGTTTTATATGAAATTGAGTTTACAGATGTTTTTACCTGATACAAAGTGTACTATATGAATGTTATCAAGTAAAATTTCCCAAGATGTTTGTGATGAAGTTAACAAAATGTTTATGAGTTAAAGTTGGCCATATATGTTTAAGATGAAATAAAACATGCATGTTTACTTATATGTTCACTGAATACTTATGAGGATGAGGCACCTATATAAAGATGAATGGTATTTATAGATTATTTCCAGGCACTGTAGAAAAAAATCTTAAAGCTACTCAAGTAATTATGCCTACCACTTAAGTGCCTACTTCAGTATGTTTACCACTTAAGTGCCTACTTCAGTATGTTTACCACTTAAGTGCCTACTTCAGTATGTTTACCACTTAAGTGCCTATTTGGTTACCACTTAAGTGCCTACTTATGGTTACCACTTAAGTGCCTTAAGTGCCTACTTCAGTATGTTTACCACTTAAGTGCCTACTTCAGTATGGTTACCACTTAAGTGCCTACTTCAGTATGTTTACCACTTAAGTGCCTACTTCAGTATGTTTACCACTTAAGTGCCTACTTCAGTATGTTTACCACTTAAGTGCCTACTTCAGTATGGTTACCACTTAAGTGCCTACTTCAGTAAGTGGTTACCACTTAAGTGCCTACTTCAGTATGCCTACTTCAGGTTACCACTTAAGTGCCTACTTCAGTATGTTTACCACTTAAGTGCCTACTTCAGTATGTTTACCACTTAAGTGCCTACTTCAGTATGTTTACCACTTAAGTGCCTACTTCAGTATGTTTACCACTTAAGTGCCTACTTCAGTAAGGTTACCACTTAAGTGCCTACTTCAGTATGGTTACCACTTAAGTGCCTACTTCAGTAAGGTTACCACTTAAGTGCCTACTTCAGTATGGTTACCACTTAAGTGCCTACTTCAGTATGTTTACCACTTAAGTGCCTACTTCAGTATGTTTACCACTTAAGTGATTTCAGTATGGTTACCACTTAAGTGCCTACTTCAGTATGTTTACCACTTAAGTGCCTACTTCAGTAAGATTACCACTTAAGTGCCTACTTCAGTATGTTTGCCACTTAAGTGCCTACTTCAGTATGGTTACCACTTAAGTGCCTACTTCAGTATGTTTACCACTTAAGTGCCTACTTCAGTAAGGTTACCACTTAAGTGCCTACTTCAGTAAGGTTACCACTTAAGTGCCTACTTCAGTATGGTTACCACTTAAGTGCCTACTTCAGTAAGGTTACCACTTAAGTGCCTACTTCAGTAAGATTACCACTTAAGTGCCTACTTCAGTATGTTTGCCACTTAAGTGCCTACTTCAGTATGGTTACCACTTAAGTGCCTACTTCAGTATGTTTACCACTTAAGTGCCTACTTCAGTATGTTTACCACTGAAGTGCCTACTACAGTATCTTACCACAAATTGAGTACACTTTCCAATAAAGTAAGATGCTTAAAACTACACAATTATTACGACAGGTATTCCACATATCATTTCCATATGTTATGGATAAAATATGGAATCACTGCCAGTTTCCAGTTCTAGTGATTTAATCATATTTGGTCAAAACAGTATGTATTTGTTCTGTTTTCTGTGCTCATATTTTATGGTTAAATTATCAACAAAATGTCACTTGAGATTCCATATTTTTCACTTACACCCTTACCCTATATCATAATAGATATCACCTTATATGGTATTGTTTTTATTTGGTTACTGCGAGTTCGGTCAACATAAGCAATACTAGTCTTTACCCCATCAACTCACTAGTGTCATAACAACAGAAGTCACATACTCAAGGTAGAGACTTTTATCAAAACCCTGTTTCATCCAATCCAAAGTCATGTAACAAATATCTGTTCAAAGACAAACTAATATCGCCTTTTGTCCATATTTGGTCGTAGGATCAAGGTACCGTCAATCCAAGAATCAGGCCGGTCTAGCATTGCCTGCCATATTGAAATTTCTTCACCTTTAGCATCATTCCAGTCAACAATTTTACCATAACTTCGTCCTGGAAATAATAAAAATTTTTGTCAATCAGATTGAAAGGAGTACATTAAATATATGGAGATTAAGGAAAGACCTTGATGAGAAGATACTAATACAGCAAACATAACAGTCTTGATTTAAATCTTTACTTTTCTTTTTATTCATAATTATAACAAGGAAACGTTTTTTTATAATACAGATAAATCAAGTCTATAACATACCCAGTCCAAGGTTGAGTCTGACTCCTATAACAGCCTGTAACATACCCAGTCCAAGGTTGAGTCTGACTCCTATAACAGTCTATAACATACCCAGTCCAAGGTTGAGTCTGACTCCTAAAACATACCCAGCCCAAGGTTGAGTCTGACTCCTATAACAGTCTGTAACATACCCAGTCCAAGGCTGAGGACAATTTGTAACATACCCAGTCCAAGGCTGAGTCTGACTCCTATAACAGTCTGTAACATACCCAGTCCAAGGTTGAGTCTGACTCCTATAACAGTCTGTAACATACCCAGTCCAAGGTTGAGTCTGACTCCTATAACAGTCTGTAACATACCCAGTCCAAGGTTGAGTCTGACTCCTATAACAGTCTGTAACATACCCAGTCCAAGGTTGAGTCTGACTCCTATAACAGTCTGTAACATACCCAGTCCAAGGCTGAGTCTGACTCCTATGACAATTTGTAACATACCCAGTCCAAGGTTGAGTCTGACTCCTATAACAGTCTGTAACATACCCAGTCCAAGGCTGAGGCTGACTCCTATGACAATTTGTAACATACCCAGTCCAAGGCTGAGTCTGACTCCTATGACAATTTGTAACATACCCAGTCCAAGGTTGAGTCTGACTCCTATAACAGTCTGTAACATACCCAGTCCAAGGCTGAGTCTGACTCCTATGACAATTTGTAACATACCCAGTCCAAGGCTGAGTCTGACTCCTATGACAATTTGTAACATACCCAGTCCAAGGTTGAGTCTGACTCCTATAACAGTCTGTAACATACCCAGTCCAAGGCTGAGTCTGACTCCTATGACAATTTGTAACATACCCAGTCCAAGGTTGAGTCTGACTCCTATAACATACCCAGTCCAAGGTTGAGTCTGACTCCTATGACAATTTGTAACATACCCAGTCCAAGGTTGAGTCTGACTCCTATGACAATTTGTAACATACCCAGTCCAAGGTTGAGTCTGACTCCACCCAGGAAGTCGTTGCTGGAGATCTTATCATGGTCCCAGATAGTAAGTTCCAAACCACGCTCCTTCAAATCTTCTGGTCTAACATCATCAAATATGAATGTGTAGTTCCACTTAGGGTTGCAGTCTCGCTTTATCACAGGTGTTTTCTGCTTAAGTCCTTTGTGTTTGTCAGGCAACAGGTAACTGGAAGGCATATATGAACATCATTTTCACCTTTTCACCGAAGTTGGATTTTCACAAAATTTACTTTTACCGAATGTCATAGAATGTTATGTTTGAATGAGCAAGGAAACACTACAAAGATTTGAAGATTGATGGTGACATCATTTTATCCATTACTGTGAATTTTCACCTGAAAAGCTATTCCAAGCAAGGTCTAAAGGCAGGTAAGTAACTAATGCAGTTCCATTGAGATTGATCATAAGGACCATATTTTACCCCCGTATTTTTTCCCCTGTATAAAAATAAATGATAAATAACCTTTTGTTCAGTATTCAATGTACCTGTTATGTAACAGATAAAGCTATGCAGAAGTTTTAAATAAAGAAGACTTACGCTTTACAGAATGGGTCAGAGAAGCCATTGGACCGCACTGCAGTGAGATTTCTTGCCTCTTTCACCATGATCTGTAACTGATATCCTGATTGGCCATCTGGCCGTGCCTTTTTCCTCTTGGTCTTGGTGGGGGATGTGAGGAGCTCCTTAACATTGTCCTTTGATACCAGCCTTATTGACAGGATCAGATCACCTTGGTAAGTCAGCAGTGATGTAGTCTGTGTCTCCACCTGGTGGTCAAATAATTGGTATACTTTATTGACTTGTGCTTAAATAAATTATCAAACTTTTAATTCTTATCTTAGACATGAAATTATTACAAGACTAAGTTGTTTAAAAAATTTAGACATATTTAACACCTGTGACCTTAAAAGAAGATCAAGGTCAAAATATATGAACAAACTTGGTAGTCCTTCATCACAACATGCTACAGGTCCAATATCAGCACCCTAGGCCTTTTGGTTATTGAGGAGAAGTCATTTGACGGAAAGTTTGCGGATGTTGCATGACACAATGTTGTCACAAAATGACGGACAAATCACAATGGCTATAAGTCATCCTGACACTTTGGGTCAGATAATCTATAAAGCAGTGGAGAGGTAGAAATTTCTTACCCTTTCTTGTAATGTGTACCATTTTGGGGCAGAGTCTCCAAATCGAAAGTAGTCAAAGTTAATGGATACCTCTCCAAGGAAATCATTGCGACCAAACCTGTCATTATGCCAGACGGTGACCCACAATATCCTGTTCTCCACCTCACTCTTAGAGATAAGATACTACAAGGCAAAAAGATGCATTACTCAAGACAGGCAGGCCCGTTAATGTGTCGTGTTTTAACTGTTTTTCTCCATTTAAGTATAGATCTTGTAGTGTACAGCTTCAATAGCAGCAGTTATTTCCCAGACAGAACTTAATTGCATACTTCATCAGTCTGAAAAACGTTTCCTGTGAATGTTTTTCCCTACAAAGAGTTCCTGGTGCAACTCATTACATTCCAGACATACATATAGATCAACTCTATTTTGCTAAAATCATTTTTTATTTGTTTTTCCCTCTCCTAAGCAAAGACATTAATCTGCGAATACTTACACGCAGAGTTTCATCGAAAATTGGAGAAAGGGTGTTTTTCTTGACCCTGGTTTTCCTTTTTCCTCCGCGTGTTTTATCAGGTAGTAAGTAAGTCTTCACATATCTGTAAACAAGGAATGTAAACATAGCTGATAGTTTTAATAGATCTTCAATATGATTAATTAGTCACAAATGAAACATTTCTTAACACTTTTATAAACTAGAAAATGTCATTGTGAGGCATGAATGTCCTACTCCTATACATAAATGTATCAATGTTTTGATAACTAAAGATAGAAATAGTGGACGTGACCTTTGAACCCTGAAAGACAAAACTATCTGAGACATCATCATAGGTGACATTGACTTAAAGTTTGATCAAAACCAAAGTAACTCATCTCTAGAGTGATAACATTGACTTGGTGGTAGCTCTCCATAAATGGCACCCATCTTACTATGAAGAATTGAAAATGAGGTGAAGGGACAGGACAGACATTGTTAAAACTGTCATCTTGTCCCTGTCCATAAAATGGCATCTATCTCACTATGAAGAATTGAAAATGAGGTGAAGGGACAGGACAGACATTGTTAAAACTGTCATCTTGTCCCTGTCCATAAAATGGCACCCATCTCACCATCATAGGTGAAGATGCAGTCTTCATTTCAGGTAAGTTAACTGTATACACAAAATGGCTCTCACCTACAGAACACTATTAGAGAAGTTAAATAGAAAGGTTCAGATCAATGTTTATAACATTGTACCAACTTTAATATAAAATAGTAAAAAAGTTACCCTGGTTTTTACTTCAAGGTCATTTTACTTCAAGGTCATTAAGAGGAAATTATAAGTCCTAGAAATCTTGATCTAATAACTTGAGGATTGATACGTGTACAACCGTCTAATATCACAATATCCTTTGTTGACCTACTGAAGGTGTTGCTGCTGGTCTTATCATGAAATGATACAGTGGTGTGCTACTGCAGTCCGTGTTTCTATGTTATGTTACCAACACGACATTCTTATGTTTCATGACAACCACCAATGTTACAGACATCACAATTAAGGAAATAGGTCACTTGAGACCTAATTTTGTTGCAATGTTTACCCCTCAGCTGACCTACTTTTATCATTGTTCATTTGTTACTTTGTTGGGTTTATCACCCGATGAACAGTCAGGGTCATTTTGAGCGGGGTCTCCTTGTATTAACTGGTGGTTGTCTCACTGAACAACATACAGAAGGATTGTTGCATGCCGTCCAGAGCAATTAGGGCAAAGTGTCTTGTTATAGGATGCTGCTATGATAGCACAAACTTATCCATTACTCAGCTTCCTGAGAAGCACAAGCCACATTAAACCAGACACCATGAATCTTCATTTGAGGTTACGTAGGCTAACGATCTACTGACTGAGGTACCAATACCCTATTTATCTTTAATGGATCAGATAAACGTATATAAACATGTAACATATGCCTGGCTAAACACCTCATCTCATCAAATCTAGTTATCCTCAAAGCTGATGCAATATGAATTTTCTATATTTTTTATATATAAAGATGAATTTTACAAACAAAAATGAACCTTAACAAAGACTTAGTATCAAATAGTGTTTATGAAATCTTTTCTACAAGGAGACAACGTACGGGTCTGATCGGTGTCGTTTTGGGTCAGCTGGTGCTAAGTCCTTGCATTGTCGAATAGCAATCTCCAGTGACCCTGTGCGGTAGTTGTAGTCTAGGCCAAACTGTATCTCACCCGTTATAGGAACTTTCCCATAATTCACTCCACCAGCATCGCTGTAGAAACTTGCTATACTCTCGCGACTGTCCTAGAACACACAATGAGTTGTCAATCAGGAGTGTTATACCTATAAATAGGCCTGAAGAACCTAATACCATTATTTTACCAATGTTTTTCTTCCTAATGGAAAAAATGGAAGTAAAAACAGAGCTCTCCTGTACACAACTACAAACGCTAAACTTTATCATACTTACAAATAGAACCTCTTCCTTAGGAGGGATATTTTCCATACAAGCTTGATTTCAGATGACACCAGACATATATAAGACACCTGAGTGCTTGTTTTGGCTGGCGTTATCAGTCCTATCTTGGGACAGTTATTTGTCATTTAAACTAATGCTTCAAATGGATGTAGAGCATAGAAACAGAGCGGTGCTACTTACAGCTACTGTGGACAGAAGGTTGCCACGACTACTCCCAAAGGAACTCTGTGTTGTGGCCTTGTGGCTAGCTACTAGCTCATCTATATCAGCCTCACTGTCATCCTCCTTCTACAAAGCAGAGAGCAAAATGGGGTTCAAGCATACAGGGATGAAGCAAGGTTTGTTCAAGTGGAGTTCAAGCAATATTCTGAATTTTGATTCTAATGAGCAATGTGAATGAAAAATTGAGCAGAAGGGGCTGTGTTCAACAAAGGAAGCTAGAAATATGGCCAACTGACATGTACCTCTCCATATTCATTCAACAAAGGAAGCTAGAAATATGGCCGACAGACATGTACCTCTCCATATTCATTCAACAAAGGAAGCTAGAAATATGGCCTACAGACATGTACCTCTCCATATTCATTCAACAAAGGAAGCTAGAAATATGGCCTACAGACATGTACCTCTCCATATTCATTCAACAAAGGAAGCTAGAAATATGGCCAACTGACATGTACCTCTCCATATTCATTCAACAAAGGAAGCTAGAAATATGGCCTACAGACATGTACCTCTCCATATTCATTCAACAAAGGAAGCTAGAAATATGGCCTACAGACATGTACCTCTCCATATTCATTCAACAAAGGAAGCTAGAAATATGGCCTACAGACATGTACCTCTCCATATTCATTCAACAAAGGAAGCTAGAAATATGGCCAACAGACATGTACCTCTCCATATTCATTCAACAAAGGAAGCTAGAAATATGGCCTACAGACATGTACCTCTCCATATTCATTCAACAAAGGAAGCTAGAAATATGGCCTACAGACATGTACCTCTCCATATTCATTCAACAAAGGAAGCTAGAAATATGGCCGACAGACATGTACCTCTCCATATTCATTCAACAAAGGAAGCTAGAAATATGGCCTACAGACATGTACCTCTCCATATTCATTCAACAAAGGAAGCTAGAAATATGGCCTACAGACATGTACCTCTCCATATTCATTCAACAGACATGTACCTCTCCATATTCTAGAAATATGGCCTACAGACATGTACCTCTCCATATTCATTCAACAAAGGAAGCTAGAAATATGGCCTAGAAATAACAGACATGTACCTCTCCATATTCATTCAACAAAGGAAGCTAGAAATATGGCCTACAGACATGTACCTCTCCATATTCATTCAACAAAGGAAGCTAGAAATATGGCCGACAGACATGTACCTCTCCATATTCATTCAACAAAGGAAGCTAGAAATATGGCCTACAGACATGTACCTCTCCATATTCATTCAACAAAGGAAGCTAGAAATATGGCCGTCAGACATGTACCTCTCCATATTCATTCAACAAAGGAAGCTAGAAATATGGCCTACAGACATGTACCTCTCCATATTCATACCTATCTCATTTTATTTCACATTTGCTACAGAGAAATCCTATTTGATCCATGATTGATAATCTGCCCATAAAAACCAGAGATATTTACAGGAAAGCCAGCTGAAATGAAACCTATTTGTACAAGATTGATTATCTTGGAGGATGTAAAAGAATTCAAATGTCGTTAAATGGCCTGGAAGCATTTTTCATGGCACACAAATGCAGCAGTTAACACATTTTTTTGTTGGAAGACAAATGGCTGATGGCAATTGATGACGCCGATGTTTCCAAAGTTTATCAACAAAACATGATTTTGTCCTGGAATTGTACAAGTGACAATTTCATCTTGACCTACCAAGAGAAATGCCTGGTTCTTTATTTAATCGATCACCATGACAGTGATGTCACATGACTTGTGAGTTTCAGCTGGTGATATTAGATTTACTGTATTGAGTATTTCTTTCCTGAATGTCTTTGAAGAGATGATCATGTGTTTTTTTCTTCCATTTTTTTTACCATGTTTGGCAGCAATAAAAACAGTTTCTTTTCTAACAATACATTGATGAATTAAGATGATGTTGTAAATGAGAGGTGATACATCAAGCAGAGCAAACTTGAAAAAATATAAAATTTTAGTTAAAGTGGAACATGTTTGTGACTTTGCACTTAATTACTTATAGATAATATGAAACAGTGTCATACTGTATTGTAGCTATACCGTGATATAATAAACATCAGGAAATGATACGGTGACTTCATTCTGTTGTAGGGACTTTATTGTTGGTGGAGACACATACGTTTGGAGTTAGCTGAAGGATTTTCTATAACACAATACCAGACTGCCATTAATTTCTGGTAAAGTGATTATCATTCTGTCATTCTGATCTCTCTAAAAAGCCCCAAATGTATATAAAGCTATCTAGGAAAGTCAACTTCATCATCTCCTTTAGAATCAGCAAGAGTATTAAGTTTAAATCATATTTTTGTTTTATATCTGTGAACAGGTTTGCCATACAAATCTAACATTTAACATCTCCCCTTTGTTTGTACATAGTCTCACATTATCCCTTTAGTCTCTTCAAGACATACCTGTAGTCTGTACAAGACCTTAGTCTCTTCAAGACATACCTGTAGTCTGTACAAGACCTTAGTCTCTTCAAGACATACCTGTAGTCTGTACCAGACTTCCCCCTAGTCTCTTCAAGACATACCTGTAGTCTGTACAAGACCTTAGTCTCTTCAAGACATACCTGTAGTCTGTACCATACTTCCCCTTAGTCTCTTCAAGACATACCTGTAGTCTGTACAAAACCTTAGTCTCTTCAAGACATACCTGTAGTCTGTACAAGACCTTAGTCTCTTCAAGACATACCTGTAGTCTGTACAAGACCTTAGTCTCTTCAAGACATACCTGTAGTCTGTACAAGACCTTAGTCTCTTCAAGACATACCTGTAGTCTGTACAAGACCTTAGTCTCTTCAAGACATACCTGTAGTCTGTACAAGACCTTAGTCTCTTCAAGACATACCTGTAGTCTGTACAAGACTTCCCCTTAGTCTCTTCAAGACATACCTGTAGTCTGTACAAGACCTTAGTCTCTTCAAGACATACCTGTAGTCTGTACAAGACCTTAGTCTCTTCAAGACATACCTGTAGTCTGTACAAGACCCCCCTTAGTCTCTTCAAGACATACCTGTAGTCTGTACAAGACCTTAGTCTCTTCAAGACATACCTGTAGTCTGTACAAGACTTCCCCTTAGTCTCTTCAAGACATACCTGTAGTCTGTACAAGACCTTAGTCTCTTCAAGACATACCTGTAGTCTGTACAAGACCTTAGTCTCTTCAAGACATACCTGTAGTCTGTACAAGACTTCCCCTTAGTCTCTTCAAGACATACCTGTAGTCTGTACAAGACTTCCCCTTAGTCTCTTCAAGACATACCTGTAGTCTGTACAAGACCTTAGTCTCTTCAAGACATACCTGTAGTCTGTACAAGACCTTAGTCTCTTCAAGACATACCTGTGGTCTGTACAAGACCTTAGTCTCTTCAAGACATACCTGTAGTCTGTACAAGACTTCCCCTTAGTCTCTTCAAGACATACCTGTAGTCTGTACAAGACTTCCCCTTAGTCTCTTCAAGACATACCTGTAGTCTGTACAAGACCTTAGTCTCTTCAAGACATACCTGTAGTCTGTACAAGACCTTAGTCTCTTCAAGACATACCTGTAGTCTGTACAAGACCTTAGTCTCTTCAAGACATACCTGTAGTCTGTACAAGACCTTAGTCTCTTCAAGACATACCTGTAGTCTGTACAAGACCTTAGTCTCTTCAAGACATACCTGTAGTCTGTACAAGACCTTAGTCTCTTCAAGACATACCTGTAGTCTGCACAAGACTTCCCCTTAGTCTCTTCAAGACATACCTGTAGCCTGTACAAGACCTTAGTCTCTTCAAGACATACCTGTAGTCTGTACAAGACCTTAGTCTCTTCAAGACATACCTGTAGTCTGTACAAGACTTCCCCTTAGTCTCTTCAAGACATACCTGTAGTCTGTACAAGACCTTAGTCTCTTCAAGACATACCTGTAGTCTATACAAGACCTTAGTCTCTTCAAGACATACCTGTAGTCTGTACAAGACCTTAGTCTCTTCAAGACATACCTGTAGTCTGTACAAGACTTCCCCTTAGTCTCTTCAAGACATACCTGTAGTCTGTACAAGCCTACCCTTAGTCTCTTCAAGACATACCTGTAGTCTGTACAAGACCCCCCTTAGTCTCTTCAAGACATACCTGTAGTCTGTACAAGACCTTAGTCTCTTCAAGACATACCTGTAGTCTGTACAAGACCTCTCCTTAGTCTCTTCAAGACATACCTGTAGTCTGTACAAGACCTTAGTCTCTTCAAGACATACCTGTAGTCTGTACAAGACCTTAGTCTCTTCAAGACATACCTGTAGTCTGTACAAGACCTCTCCTTAGTCTCTTCAAGACATACCTGTAGTCTGTACAAGACCTTAGTCTCTTCAAGACATACCTGTAGTCTGTACAAGACCTTAGTCTCTTCAAGACATACCTGTAGTCTGTACAAGACCTCCCTTAGTCTCTTCAAGACATACCTGTAGTCTGTACAAGACCTTAGTCTCTTCAAGACATACCTGTAGTCTGTACAAGACCTTAGTCTCTTCAAGACATACCTGTAGCCTGTACAAGACTTCCCCTTAGTCTCTTCAAGACATACCTGTAGTCTGTACAAGACCTTAGTCTCTTCAAGACATACCTGTAGTCTGTACAAGACCTCCCTTAGTCTCTTCAAGACATACCTGTAGTCTGTACAAGACCTTAGTCTCTTCAAGACATACCTGTAGTCTGTACAAGACTTTAGTCTCTTCAAGACATACCTGTAGTCTGTACAAGACCTCCCTTAGTCTCTTCAAGACATACCTGTAGTCTGTACAAGACCTTAGTCTCTTCAAGACATACCTGTAGTCTGTACAAGACCTTAGTCTCTTCAAGACATACCTGTAGCCTGTACAAGACTTCCCCTTAGTCTCTTCAAGACATACCTGTAGTCTGTACAAGACCTTAGTCTCTTCAAGACATACCTGTAGCCTGTACAAGACTTCCCCTTAGTCTCTTCAAGACATACCTGTAGCCTGTACAAGACTTCCCCTTAGTCTCTTCAAGACATACCTGTAGTCTGTACAAGACCTTAGTCTCTTCAAGACA